AGAAACCACGTTCAGAGGAGACGGATCTTCACCACATTTAACGTAAAAGTGGAATTTGTTTTCATTATCCCTTCACAGTTACGTGAGTGGAAACGTGTCTGTCTAGCGCTGACCAGCAGGTGAGAGAGTAAACAATTAATTGAAATGTGGATGCGCGAGGCTGGAGTTCCCCAAGCCAACAGCCTTCTCTCACTTTGGGCCGATGAGAGCGTCCAGGCCGAGCTCGTCGCATATCGTAACTGGAAATGAGTAAACAAAAGTGAAGTGGAAGCAACAGATGGTGGACGTGCTTTTCACACAGACAAAGAACAATCAGATCTCATCTGGTCACACTGGGGACGCATTTTAGTGAAAAGTGAAATGGAATCCGGGTGAAGTTTATCTGTAAGTTAATACAATGTGTATTTCGGAGAATCTCTTATAAACAAACGTGACTTCAGATCAGAATGCGTGTAGATCAAGATGTGCAATATGGCTGGGAATTGATCCCAAAACACTGATAGTCCTGCTGCTATCTAAGCGTTGACGCTGTCCTCAGGAGATCGTGAGTTCAAGCCCCAGTGATACTACAGCCATCCATAGCCGGGAGTCCAAGAGAGCACAAATGGCCTCCCCATCCGCCAGCGCAACGCTAGCCAGTTAACTGACGTAACAGAACTGGCGGTTAATGTTCTCCTTTGAGCGCGTTCAGCTGTCCAGTGACGCTGCGTTAGCGGCAGTTCAGATGATGCGATGGAGCTTCACTGGTCTGTGAGGAAGCCTGTAGTAGTTTTTACCCCCCTAGTGCTGGTGGTATCGTGTGATTGGGGAAGTCCTGACTAGTGGGTTGAATTGGATACGTCTAAATTGGGGGAAAAAAAAAATAATAAACCTACACCTGATTTATCTGAAGTGTGACCTTATTCACAAAAAAAAGCTTAAAATTAATTACACTATAAAATTGTGTATTTTGACAAAATCGCAGCATCAGGTGAGAATCAGGTGCAGTTCAGCCCGTTACTCAGCTAAATTAATTTAGCTAGCACTAGCTCTATAAACGTCCTGTCTCAGGTCAAATATAGACAATATTATACTCTGTTTTTGCCAGATGTTCTTCTTTATGCTACAGTTTTTGGAATAGAGATCAACTCTTGGAATCAGAGCCGCCTTTACAATCTGTGGGATCGAACAGCCCTGCTGAGATGTGTAGATAAGGATAATTGATGTTTGATGTTTACGATTTGGTGGGTCACAACTGGACTGTGAAAGGATCTGAGTGGTAAAGTTTGGGTTGCACGCTCCACAACACTGGATAAACACTGAAATCGAGACCTTTTGTGACCTTCAGGAGCGGCGAATCGGCCTCAGAACCGACCCGACTGTCCCTCTGTGAGGGCAAAATGCTGAATTTTGTATCACCTAAATCAGAAATATACTGCAAACATCCAACACATCACCCTACACCCTTAAAAAAAAACGTTCTTTAAGGGTTCTTTAGTAAAGGGTTAGGGTTCTATACAGGACCATTTCATGCTTACATGGTTCTGTGCAGGGTGAAGTTGGTCTTCAGATTGATGGAGAATGTGTAGAACCTTTCTGAAAATGGTTCTATATAGCACCAAAAAAGGGTTCTTCTATTCTCACTGTGTCAAGCTTGTTGGTTCAGTATAGAACCGAATACAGCACATTCTCCATTAATCTGAAGAACTGTTTCGCCATGCAAAGAACAATGTAAGTGTGAACTGTTTCCATATAGAGCTCAAGGTTCTAAACAGAACCAATCCTTTTACTAAAGAACCATTAAAGAACCATTTTTTTAAGAGTATAGGCCAAATGTGGCCAAAAAACTACACCGATTTGTCTGAACAGTGAGACCGTACACAAAATAAATATGTACTTTATTATGTAATACTAAATTAATAACATGCGTATTTGACTAAATCTGAGCTCTGTGCTATAATTTCTCCTTCAGGGATTTCTGTCAATGTCCAACTTCACAACAGTGACTATGAAAGGACACGTTTGTTGGCGGAGAATAAACTGATCTGTTCACTGTTTTGTGATGCAGCATGAGAAGCCATTAGTAACGACAGAGATCTGTTACAGAGGAACTTCACACTCTCCAGACCATGGGAGACTTAGAGCCAGAGGAACCTGATTAACTGGAACTAAACTAGGTGTAAAAATAAACGAGAACCCTAAACCACCTATTACAGACGCACAGGCGCTCACAGTGCTCGGGGGAACGTCAGTACGGTGCGCCGGAGGCGTCATTTAGATTCACACTCTGTCTATTACTGAATCACACAGAAGCACTGAAACAACACTTAATGGACTTACTCACTCACTCACTCACTCACTCACTCACTCACTCACACACACACATGGACAGGTTGCTATGGAAACTCTGGAAGCTGTGGTTCTCTCTCCCACACACACTCTCTCGGCTGGAGGACTGTGAAGTGTGTTACGACAGTGATTCGTTCTCTGTTTGTTGTGTTAATGAGACGCTGTTTAAAAATGGAGCCTCACACTTCAGCGTACATTCATCACCGAACCGTCTGTGGGGTACGAAGCCCATCGCCTGCGTTTTCCTCTGCTCGGTTTCTGACGGCAGTGTGTCACACATACTGACATTTTCACAAAACACTGGAGTCAAAATAATGACTTAGTATCTCATAATAATGGCTTATTATCATGAAATAATTCATAACTTTCTTGAAATTACTCATTATTTCCACATAGAATCTCAAAATCTCACCAAAATCAGTTATTTCAAGAAAATGTTGTTTTTTTTTCAAAATACTACATCAATATTTTAAGAAAATTAAGGTAATTTTTAAAAAATACTAAATCAGTATTTAGAGAAAATGTCATGTCAAGATGCTCTCAGTAGAAAAAATAAGTAATTATTTCAAGATATTAAGTCAATATTTCAATAATCACCACACTGGGTGAGGCTTGCAGGTTTGTTTGGGGCATTTGGTCACCAGACTACGCTGTCAATCCAGTTTGCAGCTGTAATCATAATAATTGCACTTCAAATCCCTAATGACCTCATAAATCAAAGGATCCAGTGATACTGGGGGAAAAATGCAGTGTCGGCTCTGGAACGTTATTGTTGAGCGCGGGACGCAACAAACTTTTTTCTATAAGGAAATCTGTTTAGATATTGACAGCAGAATGACGTCCCGACTTCAGGCATTTATTTACGTCATCATTTCAAGATACTAAGTCAATATTTCAATAAAATATTTTTTAAAAATAATGCTGTCAACATTTTGAGAAAATTAGTCATTTTGAGTTGCTGAGTCAAAATTCTGAAAAAGTTATTTGTTCATGACACAATACTAACTCAGTATTTACAGAAAATAAGTCACCATTTCACACTAGCAAGTCAACATTTTAACAGACTGCTGCCAGAAACGGAGAACCTCTATACGGCGTCTCTGTACGGACGGAATGGGCTTCCATAACGGACAGATGGAGATTCAGAGTGAAAAATAAATATATAATTTGGTCTCTCGTCACGCACACACACAAACTAACAAACCAGCTCACCTCTCTGTCGTCATTACAGTAAGTGTCATAAATACAGTTTCTCTGGAAAGTGCTCAGAAATCTACAGTAATCTTTGATATTTCTATTATTGATTCCACACACATTCTTCAAACCCTGATGGAGAGAGAGAGATAGAGAAAGATAGAGAGAGAGAGAGAGAGAGAGAGAGACAGAGAGAGAATCATTAGTGTACAGAAACTTCTGGACAGATCGTGGACTCCGGAGAGCGTGAGCTCCCCTGGAGAACGATGCAGATGTACGAGCAGCCTTCAGGAAACACTGAGGGGCTTTTCTTCACATGAACAAGCCTAAACACCCTGATTATATTCCCGCCAGCAAGCAGTAAACAAACAAAACAGTGTGGGATTTATCTGAGATCTAACTCCGTCTAGAAAGGTCGCCTCACTGCCAAAGCGAGTGCTGCCCAGCAGGAGACGTCCTGACCATTTAAAGGTTCTGTACGTTGTCAAATGTTGTTCTAGAACACTGCAGTGAGTCGTGTAGTCTGTAGTCGGTGTCATGGCCATATTAGGAACTCCAGGGGCCGGATTCACAAAAATGTTCTTAAGAAAAAACTCGCAAAGGTTCTTAAGACAAACACTAAGAAGTTCATTCGCACATATTCTCTAAGGTAATTATTTTTCTTCAGATTTTCTGAAGAAAATCGTCCTTGTTTTCTTCTGTAGACTATGTTGCATTTTACCTCGTAAACAATGCAAGATACACTCTGAATTTGTATTAACTGTTATTTCCCTTATTGGGTTGGGGGAAAAACATCAAAACAAGCAAGAACTCGAGGTGGTGGAAAAAACAGCGAAGAGGGAAAAAAATCCTCTTTAGAAAATACAATAATTATGAGGTGATGGCAGAAAGCAAGAGACCAGGATGGGCAGGAGTAGATAAACTGATACATTTAGATGCTCACCTTGTCAACTCTTACAGCCCAAGACAAGTGTGAGGCTGTCATAAGGTTAAGAAAACATTTAAGAACATAACATTTTCAAAAATATCACTTATTCTTAAAATGATTCTGAAGAACTTAGTTTAAAAAAAAGAAAATAAGAGAATTCTTAAGAAGTTATTTGAAGAACAGCAATTTTTGTAACTTTTTTCCTTAAAAATGAAGTTCAGCAAAAACACATTTAGAAAGATTTTCTTTCTTAAGACACTTCCGTGAATCCGCCCCCAGGTTCCGGATTTCTCTATGGGAAAAATGAATGGCGTTCTTGGGAATCTCTGCTGTGTTAAACAGAAAACTGGGTCCAGTGTACGGTTTTACCTCTGAATTCCTGAATGTCATTGAATTACACAGTCAAAATATGAATGGTACAAGCAAGCTAGCACTCCTGCGCACTAAAATGATGTGTATTAAATTCTGCTGTTAATCTTCAACACTATTATGCTACCATGTTTCCTATCACTGTAGAAAAGATGCCTGAGGCTCCTTTATTGTTGTGTGATCCTGAGAGCGCAGTTGGGATTAATAGGTGCTTATTATCGAATAGTAATCAGAGCAGCGTGACTGCTATATACTCCTATTTGTGTGTATTCCTGTTCGAAATACCAGTTTCATGCTAATAAAAGACAAGAGCAGTTAAATCAGCAGAAACAGCCTCAACTTTAAAGGATTAACCACAACACTGGATGAGACTTGCTGATTTGTTTGGTCGCCAGACTTATGCTGTCAATCCAGTGCGCAGCAGCAATTGTGACAATCGCACTTCAAAATCCTTAAAGGCCTCATAATTCAAAGGATACAGTGACATTTGGGGGGAAAAATGTATTTGGAACGGTTTTTGTTGATCATGGGACACAACTGTGGTTGAATTTCGGAAAAGCTTAATTCATTTTTCCCATAGGGAGATCTGTTTAGACTCTCCATGTACAGGCATGACGTCGACAGCAGACTGAGGACCCGACTTCAGACGTCTATAGCACAGTCAGAAAAACGTCACTGACACCCGGATCTGGTCTAATCATCTTGTGATAGTTGTGATAGAAAGGTAATAGAGGAATGGCTTGAATGTGAAAATAAATGTAAGTGTCGAGCTTCAGTACACACCAACACTCACTCCTGCTTCCTGAGCACGTTGTGCGACCCACTGTATGTAAATATCACTCTCTCTACATCCATTCATGTGTTTAAGTCCGACTGTCCTTTTCATAAAATGTAATACACTATCGGTCCGTACGGAACGATTTTATAAAACAGTCCTGTAGAACAACAGCGTATCAAAGAGAACCAGAGCTGGGCGCGAATAGGGGAAAAAGAAAGGAGTAAGAAATGTAGAGGAGGTTGGTCCGCTGCTAAAGTGCGCTTCATCTTTTCCTTCATGTTGTCCCCTTGTAACCGGGGCGATTGTCGTCAGGGGTGAGGGCATCGGCTGGGTGACTGCTGCCGAAGGTGCGCCCCTGGACTGTTAGCCTGCGTTTGGAGTAGGAACCTTCACGATCCAGCTGGCATTCTACCATCACAGTGGGGAGGTTGATTAAAGAGACACGCTACATTCAGGTCCCCGGCATGACCTCTGACCTTTTGGCCTCAGGAGGGGAGCGGACAGTCAGGGCTGGTCGGAGAGGTCACGGAGGGGGAGACGGCCGGAGGCTTTTACATTTCGTCTCGTCCAAACTCTTCCAGTACTTGTAGTTCTCTGCCAGGTGCTCCAGTAAGCCGGGCAGGCCAGCGAATGCTGATAGAGAGAGAGAGAGAGAGAGAGAGAGAGTGAGAGAGAGAGAGAGAGAGAGAGATACATAAAACTTAAAAACATTATTTATGTATCTATTATTATACTGAACTGGTTCAAAGTCAGAGCTGAAACAGGACATTTAGGCTAAAATCCTTTTGCTTTGAGTGACCCTACATCTTAATTATGATTATTTTATTAAAACTAATGATTGAACATTCCAAAACAATCATAACTCCATAGTTTCAGTAGTGAATGTTTCCATGTAACAATTTTAGCTCATTTTAAGCAGAACTTGAGAACGCAGCCAGTACATGAGTAGCAAACACAGCTTTCAGCAGTTTACACACATAAAATCTTCATATTTTTAATTAAAACACTAAAAAGTGCTGAAATGCAAAAAAATGATAATTCTTAATGTTCCAAACTGATTTTAAGACTTTGGGACACAATTACTTCAAAACAATAGGGTCTAACTGCTTGTCATGTGGCCATGAGGGACAGGGATGCAGCCTCACTTCCTGCTCTAAAATGCAGGGGCGTGGCTAAAATAAGGCTCCACCTGCAGACTAAAGCTGTGTTTCAGTAGTGACCTGAGTATTTTATGAATAAAGTGTTTTTTTATATTAAAAAATTGCTTTGAGTGACCCCATACCTTAATTATGATTATTTTATTAAAACTAATGATTGAGCATTCCAAAACAATCATAACACTACTGAAACTTTACCAAACGTTTCAGCAGTGACTGTTTCGGTGGTGACAATTTTAGCTCATTTTGAGCAGAACTTGAAAAATGCGAGCCAGTACGTGACTAGCAAACACAGCTTTGAACAGTTATACACACCTAAATCATCATATTTTTCATAGAAATACAAAGAAGTTTACTTAACTGCAGAAAATGTGTTCCAGTAGTGACAATTCTTAATGTTCCACACTGATTTTCAGATACTTCAAAACAGTGGGATCTAACTGCTCACCATGTAGCTGTAAAATACCCCCCCCATAGACTAAAACTGTGTTTCAGTAATGACATGAGCATTTTTGAATAGTTTTTTTTATATGAAAATATTTAAAAATGACATAAAAACTCCTGATAAATCTAAATCTTTGAACTTCACTTTTAAAGAAATCAAACCGATCTTTAAGAACAACACTGAAAAACTATTTCACAAGTGTAAATGTAGGGTATTTTATAAATGATGATTTTATAAATATTAAGATTATTACTATCTATATTCATGTCATGAGTGTAAAGAAATGATTATATATTGTTTATGAATATCTAAGGTCTGAATACTTGTTTTGTTTTTTTTTTTTACTGTGTTCAAACTGCAGTTTGAACTAATTCAGTAGAATCGTCCATTTAACAGGCCCCAATAAATATACATAGCAACTTAATCATTATCTAATACTTCAATACGCTCTTAGGATTGAGACCAACTAAATAAACCAATGAAATCAGGTGAGCCTCTTAGTGGATAAGATAGGACACACTTCACTCTAATACTCAATAACTCTGCTTGGTAGTTAAAATGAGGAGGTTATTGGGGGAAATTCTGATTGGGACAGAGCTTTTGGTGTTTTTGCACTGCAAAGCTGGAAATCTGAAGTTGTTGTGAGGTCCTGTAGCTCACTGGTAGAAGCCATGCCTCCAAAGACAGGAGGTTATTGGCTCAAATCCCAAACAGGAATGCTAAGTCATGGCTGCGAAGACATGAGATGCACATTAGGTGATGAGGAGGCCGGAGGGTGATAATGGGAGAAATGTAGACAGGACAGAACATTTCAGTTTTGGAATGTGTTTGTTTTGTTACTTTCACCAACACTGTAAAGAATCTGAGTCTCTGCGATCAGCCATTTCACACCAAACCACTCTGAATGACTCTGTTTACATCTCAATCAGTCTCAGCCAGTTATGCTGGGATTTTGAAGCCTTTGTGAAATTCCTCTTTAGGTCAGTATTCTATGTCGTCCTGACTGGCACCACAAAGCATGAGGAAGTGAGCAGTGTGTATGATAGAATATAAGTGTGTGTATTTTAAGCACATCCTATTGATTATATTTCGTCACTTCTTCACTGTGTCCTGACACCAAAGCATGGAAACGCATCCCCCCCTCGGTTTTAAATTTTCCGTGACATCAGCAGAAGATTGTGCTGACTGTAAATAGGCTTTGACTCTGGGGGGTGAACTCAGTGGGAAACTGGACAATTAGACCTTAAACATAGCCACAAACCAACATGACCTCTACAGAACCTAAAACAGCTTATAAACAACCCTGACACAGCTTATACACAACCCCAACACAGTTTATACACAGCCCTGACACAGCTTATACACAACCCCAACACAGCTTATACACAGCCCTGACACAGATTATACACAGCCCCGACACAGTTCATACACAACCCCAACACAGCTTATACACAGCCCTGACACAGATTATACACAGCCCCGACACAGTTCATACACAACCCTGACACAGCTTATACACAACCCCAACACAGTTTATACACAGCCCTGACACAGATTATACACAGCCCCGACACAGTTCATACACAACCCCAACACAGCTTATACACAACCCCAACACAGCCTATACATAACTCCAACACAGCTTATACATAACCCCAACACAATCTCAACACAGCTTATATACAATATCGACACAGCTTATACACAACGCCGACACAGCTTATACATAGCCCTGACACAGTTTATACACAACCCCAACACAGTTTATACACAACCCCGACACAGCTTATACACAACCCTGACACAGCTCATACACAGCCCCGACACAGATTATACACAACCCCAACACATCTTATACACAACCCCAACACAGCTCATACACAGCCCCGACACAGATTATACACAACCCCGACACAGTTTATATACAAACTTGACAGTTTATACACAACCCTGACACAGCTTATACAGAAACCAACACAGCTTATACAGAACGCTGACACAGCTTATACACAACCCCGACACAGCTTATACACAACATCAACACAGCTTATACACAGCCCCGACACAGTTTATACACAGCCCCCACACAGCTTATACACAACCTTGACAGTTTATACACAACCCTGGCACAGCTTATACACAGCCCCCACACAGCTTGTACGGAACGCTGACACAGCTTATACACAACCCTGGCACAGCTTATATACAGCCCCCACACATCTTATACACAACCTCGACAGTTTATACACAACCCTGGCACAGCTTATACAGAACCCAACACGGCTTATACAGAACGCTGACACAGCTTATATACAACCCCAACACAGCTTATACACAACCTCGTCAAAGCTTATACACAGCCCCGACACAGTTTATACTCAACCCCGACAAAGCTTATACACAACCCCAACACAGTTTACATACAGCCCAGACACAGATTATACACAGCCCCGACACAGCTTATACACAACCCCAACACAGCTTATACACAACACCAACACAGTTTATACACTAACCCAGCTTTTATATAAACACAGCTTATACACAACCCCAACACAGCTTATACACTAACCCATCTTACATAAACACAGCTTATACACAACCCCAACACAGCTTATACACTAACCCATCTTACATAAACACAGCTTATACACAACCCCAACACAGCTTACATAAGCACACCTCATACACCACCCCAACACAGATATATAAACACAGCTTATACGCCACACCAACACAGCTTATACACCACCCCAACACAGTTTATTTAAACACAGCTTATACACAACCCTGACACAGCTTACATAAACACAACTTATACACAACACCAATACAGTTTATACACTAACCCAGCTTATATAAACACAGCTTATACACCACCCCAACAAAGCTTTTTTAAACACAGTTAATACACAGCCCCAACACAGCTTATACACTAACCCAGCTTATATAAACACAGCTTATACACAACCCTGACACAGCTTATATAAACACAGCTTATACGCCATCCCAACACAGCTTATACACCACCCCAACACAGCTTATTTAAACACATCTTATACATAGCCCCGGCACAGCTTATACACTAACACAGCTTATATAAACACAGCTTATACACCACCTCAACACAGCTTATACACAACCCCAACACAGCTTATACACTAACCCTTCTTATATAAACACAGCTTATACACAGCCCTGACACATCTTATATAAACACAGCTGGTACACAATCCCAACACAACCTATCAACAACCCCAAAACAGCTTAAATACAAAGGCAAAACATGTTACACAGTCTCAACACAGCTTATACACAAACACAGCATATACACAACCCCGACACAGGTTGTACACAAACACAGCTTATACACAACCCTGACACAGCTTATACACAAACACAGTTTATACACAACCCCAACACATCTTATGTATAATTCCAACACAGTTTATATACATCCCCAACACAGGTTATACAAACATAGCTTATCCACAACCACAACACAGCCCATACTGAACCCCAACACAGCTTTTTGCATATGCAGCTTATACACAACCCTAACACAGCTTATACACAACCTCAACTAGCTTATTTACAAACACAGTTTACAACCCCAACACAGCTTAAGTACAAACACAGCTTATGTATAACCCCAACACAACTTATACACAATCACAGCTTACACACAACTCAAACACAACCTCTTCATAACACTTCCACAACCTATAAAACTAATGCCCTGCCGCACACACACTCACTCACTGATACACAAACAAACAATAAACACAAACAGACTCAGTCGACCTTTACTGCTGCTAACAGTCCATTTCACGGAATTTAAGTGGACAAGTCCCCTGATAACAAGTCTGGGAAAGAATCTCTCTCTCTCTCTCTCTGTATCCCTTTCCTTTCTCTGTCTCTCTCTCTTTTGTTCCTTCTTTTCGTTTTATCATGCTCTCTTCCTTTCCAACACTCTTACTGTTATGGCTTTCTCTCTCTCTCTCTCTCTCTCTCTAGGTCATGGTTCTTCTCTGAATGATTAATCCAAACACATGTATTCTGAAAGTGCAGGAGGCTTTTTTGCTAACTCTTCTCATCAAACAGCTCTGTTCAGGATCCCCCTCCCCAAACAACCCAAAATGCTAGTACTCAATGCACCTGTGCGAAAGAGAACAGCTCTCTCTAGCAGGAGAAGTGAAATGGGTATCTCATGGTTTGTTTTACATTAATGTGTCATCTGAGCCCTTTCAGAGACGCCCATGTTTGTTCTCAAAATATTCATTTTCTTCTTGATGAGAAGACAAAATCCAAATATTATTTCAGAGTAACAAAAACGATTCAAACGTCCATCTCTAGTGATACTGTAACAGGTGAGGGTGTTCTCTGTGTGTACGCTCTGTTTCCTTCTTCCCTCTCTCTCGTTTCTTTCCTCGTGCTCCCTCTTATGGCTGAGGCCGATTTGCTCAATTGGCCAAAACAACGCAGACCAGAGCCAATGGTGCAGGACACCCTGCACAGACTAGGGGCAATGGTTGTCCCCCAGTACTCACCAACCACCTGACTTTTGCCTTGGAGTCTCAGGGCTCTTATGCTTGGCCCACACTACACGATTTTTTGCCCGATTTTAACCCCGATTTGCCCCTTTGCGAAAGATTTTCGCAGTCTTAAGCGATTCTCCAGGTCGGGAGCTCGATCAGAAGTGACTGACAGCGCTGATGAGCTGTAGTGTGAGAGGAGAAACGAGTGAATCTTTAGCCCCCCGATCGAACTCTGGAGTGATCAGAGACCCTCCGATATTATCAGGCATGTTTGATATTTACAACAGCAGTGAGTGACTCAAATAGCCAGTCAGAGAAAGGTCACTTCAGTCACTTACTGTTGGCTCAGGGGTTCAAATCGGCGAACTTCCTGTCACAGGGCTGGTTCCCTAACCTCCAGCCCACCACTGTCCCCCAACTGTGTAGCTGCTTTTGTGTGTGTGTGAATGTGTGCTTACCGTCCCAGGCGTGAAACATGTCTGTGATGAAGTAGTCGATGAAAGAAATCTGGGATTTGGGAATGCTGCAGGTGTTCCGGTCAAAACACAGGCATGACCACAGGCAGCCCCTGCCTCTTTTCTTCATCCGTCTGTTAGACACAAAGACAGAGACCCACACGTGCTCAGTAGAGACTGAGGATAGAGAACACATGGCTCTTCACAGTGAGAAGAAACAAGTATTCAGACACGTTAATGCACTTCCAGTGCAGATGTCCACTTCGAGGTCAAAACTGGTCACGATATGAGTGCAAATATGTTATTCATCAGATTCATCATTGGCGTATCTGTATGAACAAGCTCATGACTGGTAGGAGTGCATTTGAGCAGTATAATTTAACAACCTGAAAAAATGCCTGATCTGCAGTTATCTAAGCAAAAGTATTATTAATAGGAATAAATGAAAATAGGAAATAACAATGTTAATAATTTGTTCAGTTAAAGTGGACGTACTCGTTTTACATGCACATTAGTATAAACAAATGCAACTATTCCATGTTCCGTTTAAAGGCATATCACGCTGTGCTTTTGTTTTATACTACTGACTCCGCCCCCAAAATAAACAACACAAAACACACCTACTGTCATACGCTGCATTAATATAGCGTTTAAACATGTTTTAGGAAAATGATCACATCATTCTACTGTCTCAAAAACATTAAGACATTCTGTTTATTTCACATTTTATTTTTCCAGTGGTCATAATTTTAATATTATAAAGTTCCGTCAGTAGGGGGAGCAGTGCACTCACTGCTCCATCTCAAACTCCACCCACAAGCACAGCCATTGGCTCACTACTGAAACATCTGTATGAATTAGGGCGTGCTTCATGTAAATGATATGTAAACGAGGTGCTGGTAGGCTGGCGCTTGATTTCACGCACTGAAGCTGATCAGTCTTAAAGGCGCAGTAACATTTTAAGGGGTAAAGAGAGGCTGAAAAACGTTCATGTCAAAATAGATTGTGCCTATTTTTGGTACCATATGAAGTCTCTGAGAGAAAGAAATACAATAAAAATGTAACGGTCCTTTAAAAACACTGAGGAAGGTTTTGATGTTTGTATATCCGTGTGTACGTACCTGAGCGAAGTACTCCTCTGAGATGCGACCGGCCCACTCGATGCAGAGCTCCAGGGGTCTGCAGGGATTTGCCACGTCAGCACATTTTATCATCATCCTCTTTATCAGCAGACGATTCTCCGGAGAGTTCCGCATGTTGGCCTGGCCCTCACAGTCACTGCCATCACTCTGCCACGGAGACACCCACACATACGGTTACACAAGAACAGAGCTGACAGTAACTGAATACATGTGACAGGGTTAATCAGGACAACGCCACCAAAAAAGCACAGTAATTAAATTACAGGTGTGATACAAAAACTGAGAGATTAGTAGCAGAATTAAATTAAAAAACACTCAGTGGCTTTCTTGACTGTGTTTGTCTCTATGAGTAAAAAAATCAGCCAAATGCTTTAAATATATACAGAGCATTATATACAAATAATATGAAAAATGTTAGTGACAGCTGCTGTTACTGATGTAAAAAAAGGTCAAAACAACAATAAAAAGTGTGATGTACTGTGAGAGCGCCCCCTGCTGTTTAACAGGGTGTCACCACTCCCCAGTTTCAGTCTCCATTTCCCAAACGCTTTAGCCGAGCGCGCTAACGTTACTCCTCCTAATAAACAGACGCACGTTCAGCTCCGTCTCCTCATTATTCACCACCATCACTGTAATATTTCATCATCAACATTAACACACGAAGGTAATCAGAGGGGCGGTGGAGATCGAGTCTGCAGCGTCTGAGATCTTTAAAACGCAGAGTTAGAAAAGAAAATCATCTCACAGTGAAAGCAGCGTTTTACAGTAGAAATAAATGGAGCTCATTATGCTGGTAGTGAACTGTGCTGCTGACTCAGCTGCCTAAAAACCATAGAATATACATATATTGCATATTTGCACTGTCCGTTTTGCACTATTGCTACTATTTGCACTTCTGGTAGATGCTAACTGCATTTCGTTGCCTTGTACTTGTACTGAGCAATGACAAATCTATCTCTATCTACTGAATCTATCTGTCTGTCTGTCTATCTATCTATCTATCAACCTAACAAAGATGGTTCTTCAAGGGTTCTTTAGTAAATAAAATGGTTCTATATAGAACACTCTTAAGCACCCTTTGCATGAGGATTCTCTGCATCGTTAAATGGTTCTTCAGATTGATGCAGAATGTGCTGTAGATGGTTTTATATAGAATTTTGAAAAAGGGTTCTATATAGCACCAAAGAGGGTTCTTCAATTGTTACAGGCTTGACATTGTAACAATAGAAGAACATATAGAACCCTTTTTTAAAAAGGTTCTATATAAAACCTTCTACAGCACATTTTCTATCAACCTGACGAACCATTTAACGACGCAGAGAGAGCTCTTTGAGTGTACATGGTTCTATACAGGACCATTTTCCTTACTAAAGAACCATCATTTTACACGTATGAGAAAATGCATGCTAAATGTGCCTCAATGCAGCCACAGCATGAGCTCACAGTCTGTTTTACAAATTCTATTTGTTCAATCTTAGCTAAAGAAGTCCTACGTGCAGTTTGAGGTTCTCTGTGCAGCCTTAATGAAATCTACACAATTAATGAGTCTACACAAACAGTCGCACATGCATTCAGATACACACACAACTGATGAATTAAGCCACAAATTTGTCATGTTTTCACACTAAACCACAGGAGAACGACTCGCTGGGATTTGGGAAAGTGACAAACTCCCAATGTCTCTCTCACAAAAACACACAAACACCCATCTTACATTAGAGCTGGACTCTTCAATGGCAGCCATGGGCTTGTTGATGCTGTTAACAAACTTGTTAACATGCTCAAAATGACGGGTCATCTCAGTGGCCAGCACCATGTCTATGATAGCCTGCCTCAAGGTCCGAAACTGAGTCCTGAAAGAATGAGAGAAAGAAAGAAAGAAAGAAAGAAAAAGAAAGAACAGTGATTTCACCCTACTTCACTCTGGTGGGAGAACAGTGGCAATACACAGCCTCTCACAACTTACTGCCTTAGAATATCACAATAGATGACACAAGCCATGTGGTCAGTTAGGTCAGGCAGTTAAGACAGTTTAACGGAAATCATTAAAACCAAATGTACATCATAAAATATGCACTAGGGTTGGGCAATAATGTCAATTTAGACAAACGATTATCGTCTCCAGAATTATCGCCAAGGGAACTCGAGTGGGCCTTTCAGTCACGTGATCATTTTATTGCAGCCTATGTAAGTGAACTGCTGCATCTCAGTGGAACAGCAAAGGAGAATCATAGCAGAAAATCTTAATTTGCAGTTATGTTATATTATGAAAAAACAGTTATGTTAGATGAAATAATAATAATAATGTGGCATGCGCCCGCCCCCCGGGCCCTGACGATGACGGCCATGAGAGCCGGCAGGAAGGCGGGGCCCAAACACAGAGCGGCGTCGAACCTCCGTGAGGGTGGCAGGGAGAGAGCTGCGAGTGTGGAGGGGGCGGAGCGCAAAGACGAGCTCCACCGAGGGACGCAAGTCACGCGAGTGACGGCGGGAGGAGGGGGCGACGGTGCTCCGCCGCTGGGCCCCGAGGTGACGAGGAGGTGGAGCAGTGAGCTCTCGTTCCCTCTTGGCTCAGTTTAGCTAGTGAAAGCCACTGAAAAGTGGCAAGCATAGCGTTGGTTTTGGTAAGTTTATTTTGTGTGAGTTTGAAGCAAATATTAAAGGAATGGCTGCTGCAAAAGTTTTTCCTGCCTCCAGCGTCCTCCTCGAGCCCGGGGTAGCGCATGACGTGCTACAAATAATTATTAATATTATTATGATTATAATCTTTAACAACCTAGACTGTTTCATACACAATTAACATTATTACACACCTCAGGCGCCGCTGTCTTGCTGAAGTACTTACGGCTTGGCAGCTCATACTGTGGATTCAAGGTTTGTATTGCCGCCTTTGGTGATTATCAGTTTTCTGCATAGACGACATGTAACACTTAACATCTAACGGTTCTCCGTGTTCGTCTGGTTGGAAACGAAATATTGCCAAACGGGCGCGGTAACACCCTTCTTCTGTACAAGCTCATCCATTTTTCACCGTCTAGGGAGACGGTCACATGTAGCGGAGTGTTTCATTTGCATATACCCAGCATTCTTTGCCAGACTGAAATTCTACATTCTAATCTTTTCAAGTGGCGTTTTAAAACGTATATTTGTAGTTAATTAGTTATGTTTGCGTGGTCTATACTTGAATGCCGTCTTTTCTGTTATAGCTTAGTTCTAAAATTCCAACCTACCATAGATTAGAATGCTTGTACAAAGTCAATGGTTAAATACAAATAACGATAATTTGCTTCATATCGTCACTGGTTGAAATTATCGCGATATTCGACAATATCGTTTATCGCCCCAAGGCTATTTATATGCACAATCTGACTTTTTCCCTGGATGATATTTGTTTACACATTTTGGTTTGATGTCAAAAATGTGAACGCTAAGCGAACCAAACTAAAATCGAACAGTGTATTGTTTTCTGCTTTGGTCGGGACCAAAGGAACCGAACTACAAATGTAAACACACTCTTGAGCTCATCTCACTGAAGACGTGGTTACTGCACCACATGAGAACACTCTTCTATATTAATCAGTGTAGCCTCTTTCACAGCTGCATGCGTCACGGAGCACTGTGGCGCTAACGTTCTTGCGAAGCACAAAAACAAGCTTGGTGCATGCCTTGTGCTGCACTGTAGCAGTTTGAAGGGCTGTCCCGAATACCATCTTTTGGGCTCTGGAGCTTCGGCAGTAAATGGCAGTGAATATTTGAATTCCGCCCTCTAGTGGGGGAAAAAGTTGCTCAAAAAATCTGCATCCAGCCCCAGTGTTGAAAGCACATCTGCAGCTTCATCTGCTGTAAAATCGAATCTCCAAGCTGGCTTCTTTCCTTGCAGAGCATGGCTTTGCTCCATCTACCAGGCCTGCTAGCCTCTCTTAGCGTCAGGCTAGGGAGTAACAGCACAGTGCATGCATGGAGGTGGTCTGAACTGAGGTATGATAGGCATAAACTGAGGACTTACTAAGGGTCCTGTACAGCAGGGCACTGTTTACAGCTGCGCTGGGAATACATGCTGTCCAGCACCACGTTAGAGTGACGTTCACTGCTTTGAGTGAGCAGGATTCAGGCGCCTGAGTTGAGATGGTACATATTTCCACATGAGGAAATATGAGGTTTTGTTCCCACAGCAGCGATATGTAGAGAAACTGCAGGCTGGATAATACACTAGAAATAGTCTAATAATCATATAGCGATACAGAACATGGTGAGCAAGTTAGCAACAGTCACGCATCAAGTTGTTGATCTGCTTCAAACAGTTAGCAGCTAGTTAAACAGCTACGCTCCTACTGCCGTCCATAAAAAGTTTATTTAAACAGTAAACAAACAATAAAGACATCTGTAGCTTATATGGTGGGAAAATGCAATGAAACCGCTTTCGCAACGTGTTTGTTACAAAAGAGTTCTGTGTATCACATGGTGTGAAACTGGCCTTAATCAGTCTACCTGGCTCACCAATGCATGCATGTTTTATTTTATTTGAAAGGTTTGTCGAGTTCTTCAATGTTCTCTTGTTGCTGGTATGTGTGAGGGGGCCTTACTGAAACTGATCCTGCACTTCCAGCAGGTTATTTCTCAGCACTAAGTAGAAAATAATGAAAAGACCTGCTTTTTTATGTTGGTCGTGGTAATCTGAAAGGAATTTTTATGACCGAGAGTTCGTGAAGGTCAGCGTACCTCTCCATGTTCTTGAAGATGTTGCACTTGCTGTCTCTGACGGTCAGCTGGAAGGCGAGTGCAGCGTGGTGGCTCTCGAGGACTGCCGTGTCGTTGTACAGGATGGCCAGTTCGCTCCCGGCATTGCACAGGAACGAGTTTGTCCGGCCCGGGTGGTCCACGTCGTGAACTGTCGCCGCTAGCAACGACGCTATCTCGTCTAGCTGGTCCAGGCTGCCCTAAAAACACAGCTCAGAGTTCATCTGTAGGTCCCACAGGGTAAAAAAAAAAACTATTCATAATAAAAAAAAAAGTATTCAGATACTGACAAACATTTTGCAGTGATCTATTTGAACCCCAGGGATTAACAGAGATAATAATAAGCTAAATATATACAAAATCATCATTTATAGGGTACTTTCTACTGGGAGGAGTCTGTCCCAAACCTTAACCCCTTATTGTTTAGTAGACTTAGACTTATAGTAGACTTATAGTTTGTAGGCGGGGGCCACATTTTAGCCACACCCCTTCATTTTACACCAAGAAGTGAGACTGCGTCCCTGTGGTCATGGTGAGCAGTTAGACCCCATTGTTCTGAAGTAAAAGTGTCCCAAAGTCTAAAAAATCAGTGTGGACTGTCAGTTAAGTCAGTTAAGAACTGTCACTACCGAAACACATATTTTTTGCAGTAAACCTTTTTTGTGTTTTAATGAAAAATGTTATGATTTTATGTATGTACACCTATGCTATGTTTGCTATTTATGTGCTGGTTAGCGTTTTTAAATTTTGCTCAAAAATTGTCACTACCGAAACAGTCATTACTGAAACATTTGGTGGTAAGGCGGGGCCTTTTTAGCCACGCCCCTTCATTTTAAAGCAGGGAGTGAGACTGCATCCCAGTTGAATCCAATTGTTTTGAAGAAAACGTGTCCCAAAGTCTGAAAATCAGTGTGGAACATTAAGAACCATCACTACCGAAACATCTATTTTTTGCAGTGAACTTTTTTTGTGTTTTAATGAATAATATTATGATTTGATGTGTGTATGACTGTTCACAGCTGTGTTTGCTAGTCATGTACTGGCTAGCGTTTTTTTGAGTTCTGCTCAAAAACTGTCACTACCGTAACAGTCATTACTGAAACATTTGGTAAAGTTTCAATAGTGTTCTGATTGTTTTGGTAGCGACAAAACGGAACGTTCAATAATTTGTTTTAGGAAAATAACATAATTAAGCTATAATTAAGCAAATACGTTTCAACTCTGACTCTGCTACATCCTTAAGGTCATTTCAGTCAACTCAGTTCACTACTGTATTCTGGCTAGTCTGTGTTGTATCTATATAAGGGCGCCTCAGACCCTCACAGCTTGCGTTCTGCATGTCTGTTCTCTGCTCTCATCATAAAACACACACATAAACAAATACCTGTACAGTGTAACACACATTCAACCATGACATCACTGCATGCTGACATAATGCCCAAACACACCAGGTGTCAGTATCCCTCAAATACGCTAATAACACAGCCAGATTTGTTTCTTCATGCTGCCTCAAGTATTACTACATAAGAGAAAAATCCAGAGTCATCAGCGTTGAACTCCTCATACAGGCCAAGACAGAATTTAATATCTGCAGATTCGCATGAGTAAAACTCAAAACATCTGAAATGAACTGCATGACCAGCAATAAAGAAAGACGCTGAATGAAGGAACCTTGAAACCAATCAAAACAATCACCCACTAAGGGAAATATTACAGCCGCTCTGACCACATAAATATGAATATACATACAGTATATGCTCCACTGACCGTATAGTTCCACTTTGTAGTTCTACAGTTACAGACTGTAGTCCATCTGTTTCTCTGCATACTTTGTTACCCTGTTCTTCAGTGGTCAGGACCTCCATGGACCCCCACAGAGCAGGTACTATTTGGGTGGTGGATCATTCTCAGCACTGCAGTAACACTGACGTGGTGGTGGTGTGTTAGTGTGAGTTGTGCTCATCTGAGTGGATCAGACACAGCAGTGCTGCTGGAGTTTTTAAACACTCACTGTCCACTCACTGTCCACTCTATTAGACACTCCTACCTTGTCAGTCCACCTCCAGAGGTGTTTAAAATCTCTGCACTGCTCTGTCTGATCCACTCAGACCAGCACAACACTCCAACACGGCACCACCACCACCATGTCAGTGTCACTGCAGTGCTGAGGATGATCCACCACCCAAATAGTACCTGCTCTGGGAGGGTCCATGGGGGTCCTGACCACTGAAGAACAGGGTAAAAGGGGGTTAACAAAGTATGCAGAGAAACAGATGGACTACAGTCTGTAATTGTAGAACTACAGAGTGAAACTATATGGTCAGTGGAGCTGATAAGATGGACGATGAATGTAGAAACAAGGAGGTGGACTTAAGTCATTGGTCAGTGTATATCTAGTGTATATCTACTATTGTAACATCTTATATTACATTCATATTGTATATCTTGTATCTCCGCAATGGAAACTTTATAGAAAAAGCAAAAAAACTGGAGTAACACTTTACTGAAGAGCAGCATTCAGACTACACAACATCTACATAAGCCTTCCATGGCAACTGACATAAACCTACCCAATCTTTTACAAAGGCTTATTCCAACAAGCGTCAGATGGCATAAAGGCTGCCTCTGTCCATTTTGGTGTCATTTCATCTGATCCAGTGCTAAGACAACTGGAATAAGCCTTTATAAATGTCTATAGCTGTATTTCAGTTGTCATATAGATGTTGTGTCGTATTGTGTGATCACTGCCCTAAAACAACATGCTACTTCCCGAATTACCAAATGTATGTTGATACACGTCTTATCCCAAGTAATTTTGGACCATTTCTATTGGTCCATTTATCATGAAATGACATTACTGGAACTTCGACTGGAGCTGGGTTTGGTGGATGAGAGAAGAATAGAGCTTTCTGGCTACAAACTATCAAGGAGGGTTTAATGTTATAAAGAACAATAGCTATGGTGATGTTTTGGGGCAGTTTATTCGCCAAAGGCCCTGAGAACCTTGTCCATGGCATCATGGACTCCATTATGTACCAGGAGATTTTTTAATAAAAATCTGGCTGCCACAAAAAAAAAGATAAAACAGTGATTCAAAATATGAAATAGTCATCATTTGTTTTCTAGAATGATGTAATTTTTTAATTTATTGTGGAATACTGAATATTCAATATGCTGTTGGGTGAATAGACAGTCAAGGGAAATTCACTATTAATTACTGTATTTTGTATTTGCCTGCGTTTCAAACAATTGGCTTGGTTGAATCTTCTTCACGGGCCGTGGACGTTTTGGTGGTTGGCTGTGTGGACTACAAGTTGCAAAAGGTTGGGAGCTTTAGGCTAAATTTACTTCAATTCAAGGTTAGATTTCAGTCATATTGATTTCATTAACCACAGTGACCTTTTTTACCGACTGTGCCAATCATTAAGGAGCAGGTATCTGTTACCTATATACTTGCTATTTCACCCATTTTATCTGTGCAGGTTCTGTATATTTTTGTAAGACAATTAAAGCTGTTGTTTCCAAATGATTTCTAGTGTTGTCATTGAGATTCACGCATGTGTACAGGTGAGTTTTATGAATCGGTGACTTTTACAAAGTAATACAGTACATCCTGGCTTAGTACATTATAATGTACATCATGTTCTAAAACTGCAGAAGACAGCTGATTGTTCAGCTATGTACACTTATGTTGATTAACTTAAAAAAAAAAAAAAAGAACCAAAATTAAAAGGCGATTTAACCTTGATTCACAACATTGACACAACCATAAATAAACGCTGAAATGCCGGCTGGAGTGCCTGACGTATAGCCCATAACATGGTACTTTCGTCTGGCCCATAACATTGCCGATGCAGGGTAAGTGTATGGCATGGCCCTGATTTGGCACACATCTGGCCCATTTTAGGTGAAGCTGAGGTTAAGTTCTTTGGACCTGATTTGGCCCAGACATGGCCCATGTAAGATGAGCATTTGGTAAATTTAATTTGGCCCGGATTTGGCCCATATATGGTTGACCTGTGGCTGAGTTAAGGCAGCCAGACTGACCCTGAGTCAATGCCGTGCATCAAGGCCAAATGTGGGCCATAACAGAACTGCAGATTTGGGCCACATTTGGCCCAAAAATTCATTTCTGTCTGGGGAGCAGTACCTTGACTTTGTCCTTGCGCAGGAAGTAGGCGGTAGCATGGAGGACGTCGGCAGCATGCGTGGAGTTGTGGTAGGAGTTCGAGGCGTGGTAGTTGGCTTCGATCATCTGCAGCCACGAGCGCAGCATCGCCTCCGAACAATTCAGAAACTCGCAAACTCCGAAATTAGCAAAGATCTTCAGCCCCAGATACGTCAGCGGCCTGAACAGACAATGGGTACAGCTCTGAGTGACTGACTTTTAAATACCCAAACACTCTCAAACACGATCTCTCCCTCTCTTTACCTCTTGTGTGTAGCAGCCTCCAGCTCTAGGATGCTGAAGTCCCAGTCTTCCTCCTTGTTCAGTATCTCTGCGATGGAGGCTGGCACGTCCGTAAGCGGCACTGGTACTGCCAACTGGCTCTGACTCATATCTGCCATATTACACACACATATATATGTACATATCACACTCAGTAATGTGCTATTTAAAGAACTGTATAACTGTTCTGCAACAGCAGGAACAATAGATAAATAATAATAATAATAAAACCTTTTGTGGTATTTTGCGCATAAAATATTCCTGTTGACGCCAGTTATATTTTTGTTTTTAGGCATTATTTAGACCAGTGGTTCTCAAAATTGGTTTAGAGCTCCCCAGATAGTCCACATTTTTGCTCTATCCCTCTATACCTCGGTTGGACCATCGTCTGGGGATCCCTGAAGGCTGGTTTGAGAACCGCTGATTCCAGTACTGAGCTCTGGTGTTGAGCTGCTGCCACTTTTATCTATTTCTAACAGCCCACTGATTAGGTTGCCACTCATATTCACAATCAGTACTGTATCTAGAACTTCCAGAAAAAGGTTCTCACAAAATTCATCCCACCCACTGGAAATCAAAGCATGATCGGTTGATTCCTCTGGCACTTCCTGATTATGTTGAGAGTTAATCTACTGTGTTAGGACTTCTCTTCAGCTCCTGAAGTCCTAACCAGTCAGAGAGTTCGCTTAGCTATATCTGTCAAGATGCCATGAAGATAAACAATTCCTGATTGGTCAATTTTTCCCCCTCAGCATTTAAGGAATGCATGCTTTTGGTTTGTATCCAAAACTTTACAATAAAATCAGAGTAGTACTGTAATACTTAAGTTGTTTTCACTCTAGTTACCACAGTGCCAGTAGCTCCCCCTGTGGACAATCTTGTAAAATGTGAGTGACTGAGTGAGTGAGTGAGTGAGTTACAAACCAGGTCCATTCGCGACTAAAGATTACAGTCATGCATTTTTTTTGTTCCCAGAAATCATTAGGCCTTTAATGAAGTCCCCTCTGCTGTAGCTAAATACTACAAAAAATGTTAAGCCTACAGAAATAAGAGCTTAAATCTGTTTCAGAGGAGATATAACAGTGAGAGGTGACCCAGGAACAAGTGTGAGGCTGAAATCAGCTTACACAATCGCTCACAATGCACCGTCAGAGCCCTCTGTACAGGATTCATAATAAATCACTGAATCACACGGCTAGTGGGGAAAAGCCACACCATCCTGCTTTGCTCACTAAAGCCTGTTTTTGGGACTGCTATGTTTTAATTTTAAACGTGTTGTTGCTCGTTGCATGAACAAACCCAGTAAAAGTGCAAAGTAAATTTGTTTACTAATATTTTTCTTCATTCTTACTTATTTTACTATGAATATTTCACAAAATATTTACACACAAATACTATTTCATGGTATTTCTTGATGATGAATTTTGCTTTTTTTTTTAAAGTCTCTTGCAGGACAGACATAAAACTTGTCTGAAACTCAGTAACAGTAGTTGCAATCTGCCCAACTGTGAAGTTTCATGAAGCAGCTCATCAAAAAAGTGTCCATATTTATGGGCGGCCATGGTTACTCAACGTAATCGATGTTAATATTAAGCATTAAATGTGTCAATGTTAGTATTTTAAACTGACACATCAATGAGTTTACATGCACTCAATAATCCGATCATACTCGGATTTCTGCAGTTATCCGATTATTCAAATGGTCATGTAAACACCATACTCCAATCTAGAAATCCGATTAAGAAATCTGATAAAGAGAGCTGGATTTTAGCTCAGTAATCAGATTTCTCAGTGCATGTAAACTCTTACTCTGATTTCTTTCAGATTTCTCAGTCTGCACACGTGCATACAGATGGTGGATGTCGCGAGACGCAGCAAAACACTGTTAGAGCGGCGCTGAAACCAAACAGGAAACGAAGGATTTAAATATTCTTCATCTTCTAGATGATGTTTGTTCATATTTTCAGGTAAAGCGGCGCGATGTGTAAACAAAGCCACAGTATGAAGTTTGAGTTTTACATTACATTTATGTCTCGTCTTCTTCTGTGAGTTTATTGGCTGGTTGTGGTCTGATTACTGTCTGACTCATGTAGACCCAGAGTTTCCCCATTATCTGATTACTCAAGTGCATGTAAACGTGTTGACTGGATTACTGACCAAATCTGATTTTCTGCAGTTATCCGATTATTGAGTGCATGTAAACACACTCATTTACTTTTCTAAAATCTGATTTCTAAAACGTTGCAATTCAAATAACATGCGTCTGTTGTTTTCAGCTCCATCAAAGTCCCTGCTTCAGTTTTAAAAAAATCATGGCGGCTGCAGCAGAGGGGGACTCGGCTGCGGAAGAGATTTCGCAAAGTTTCCAAAGGCCCAAGGCGTCTAAAGTTAGTACTTCAAATTAGCACAAAACAAAAAGGTGGTTTATACAGTGTGCAAAGTTTCACTGGGACACCACGGCAGCACTAGCACGATGCACAAGCACCAGAAGAGAAGACACACAGACGCTGTTCTGGATGATGGACTGCCGGTGTTGCAGCCGATTCAGTTCCTCCTTAAATTCACGCTCCCCTTCACAAATCACTTCAACTATGGAAAGTGAAAACTTTAGGTTGACAGAATAAATAATAAATGGCTGCACATCGTTCACCTTTACTGAACCTTCACTTTCCGTTGTTGCAGTGTTGCTTGGTGATTTAATCTCTGTTTAGTGACCGTGAGTCCCTGAGGACTTGATTTGTAAAGGGACACATGAATTTGAGGTGGAACTGGGTCAAATGCTACACTGAAAAAGGCAAAACCAACATGTTTGTCTATTCATGTTTATTAAATGTCCATTACTAGGGAGAGCTTTACTAAATCTGTCCTTGTAGCTGCTAAATACACTCATTATTAAAGCCATAAGGTCGCCTGCCTGTTACCTGAGAATTTCCACTGAATAAGTGTTGGAGAACGTGTTTAGGCCAGAATCTGGGCTTATTCTGTGTTGATGGTGCCAGTATGTGTGCTCCTGTACGTTGGGCATACTGGGACATGCACCTTACCTAATTCCTTTATTTATGGCATTATTTTAAGCACACTTCTTTGTATAAGGTTTCAGTTTGTTGTTGTTGTTTGTTGTTAAATGGTCAATCTGATTTTTTGGAGTAAAGTTAATTGTTTAAATTATTCAACTAATTGGTAAATAGTCGACACATTAATTGATAGAGAAATAGTTATTAGTGGCCCTACAATATATGATTACTTTTTTAAATACATAATTTTATATATATATATATACACACATATATATATATACTCATGTGACCTCAACAAACTAACATGTTGGACAACCATCCAGAGAAGAAAAAACTTTATGTAGACAAAGATTCATCACCAGCGACTGATCAATAATTAGCTCATACAAAGCAGCCTCAAGTGCAGGGACCAAAAAATGCTGTTTGTGCTGGCTGTTTTTGAATGACAACACATTTTCAGCTAGGCCTGTGCTGGGTAGGGGGGGTGCAGGGTGACTCTCAGAGGGGATTTTTCTCAAAACAGTGTCAGCAAATGGCCTCTTTCACATTTTCTGGTTCTCCTCAATCGTTCAGTTTATAACTAAAATGGTTCCAGACGGCTGAAGTGACATTATGTTTTGAAACCAAGTCCAAGCTGGAGGTGTTTATCTGGTCTTCTGATCAAACTCCCTGATAAAGGTCAGCAGGGACGGGCCCTACTGGGTGCCAGGATGAGTGTAGGTTTAAGTCAGCCTGGATTCTGAGAACTGATAAAGATGAACGCAGTTATATTACGCTGTATATTCTCACATCGTATTACGATGGTTGCAGTGTGGTTCACTTTAACTGCATTCATTCAACCACAGGCAGCCTATTGTGCAGGCACCAAGCCCACCCCAACCTAATCGCTGAGTATGTTCAACCACAGCAGCTCAGCAGCCACGTTCCTGAATCAATCATTTATATTTTATGAGCAAAGACGTGATATTAATGTAGAACATCACATCACTCCACAGTTTAGTTATGATCGGGTAAGGGAATTACTACTGTCAGCGGAAAATGAGTTGTTACCGTAACTGGGGTCTGTTACCATGGAAACTCAGTTAAATGTTCAGGCCTATTTTCAACTGATCAGTTTCAATGATGGGCATAAACATCTAAAAGGGGGTGGTGGAAAAGGAGGCGCTCCTGATGGACTTTGTGTTGTTAATAACAAGTTTTTCATTTTGTCAATCATCTGAACCAACTAACAAACATGATCATCACTAACATTTTTGTTAAAAAGCTAGCTCAACTACCGAGCCAGTAGGGGGCATAACAATACACAAAAGTGAGAATTAGATTCGATACAGAAACATTAATTAGATACTCTCTTTGATACATTAACAATAAGGAGTGCCTTCGGTTAACATGGTAACGTTCATTAAAACGTTATATTATAAACGCATAATATTTGAAACAAATTTTGTGTTCTACAGTGTCTAACCACAAGCTAATGTGGGCCCCAGGCTAGCATACTAGTCACCATAAAACAGTACAATACAATACGATGCATCACGATATGTTGCATTGTTATACTCCATCTAGCCAGCTAAGCCTAGACTGTGCTAGCATTAGTTCTACATTGTTAGCCTGCTGTTCATATTCTACATGGCTGTTAAGCTTGTTAACATAACGTGCTGCTTTCTTTTGTTTTTAAGGTGCTTTGTGTCTGTGTATACTAGCACAGAAGGGTCAGATCAATGTTTGGGTTCTGCTTGTGTTGAAAACTTACTCTGAAAGGAGCTTTTGGAGAAAACATACTCGTTTCCCGAGAGACGTCGGAGCCCATCCTGAGAGAGAGAGAGAAAAGAGAGACACTTGTATGAAATAAAATAGTTTACCACATTATATAAACATTAACTTTTAAACTCTAACCACATCCACTCAGCCTGCAACTTTTATTAATTATTGGATTAGTTGCTTATTATTCAAGCTTATTGTAGCTGTATTTTCTTCTAGCTATTATTTCTTTTTTACATATTTTTACTATTTTTACTGTGTTTATTGCCTTTATTTTTGTTCATGTTTTCTAATTTTAACATCTCATAACTTTTAGTTATGTAACTTTTATTTTTACTTTTGCAATGTCTGTTTATATCACTGTATTACTGTCCCACTTGACTACGTGGCAAATGCAGGTCACCCTCAATGTAGTTCTCAAAAATAAAAGTTGATTGATTAAGTTTACTGATTAAAGTTCACATACTGGTCACTTATTAGTCCATATATGGAAAAGGAGGCTGCAAAAAAAACTGACATCACAAAAAACAACACATTTACATATATCTGCCTCTGCAGCTCACAGCAGTTTAGCCCCGCCCATTCATATTGAAGATGTAAGGAGTGTTTCAGCCCGGACTACTTTTTGAATGAGGCACAGCCAGTCAGAATAGGGCTCATTTACATACATCAGTCTAAAAGGCACAGTAACAGAAACAGCCTGTCTAATTCTAAACAACAGAAAGATGTGGAGAAATGGCCATTTAAAAACAAAAAAAATCACAGAAATATGTATGTATTGGCCCTTTAACTGCGTCTGTGTAAGTAAGAAGCTGTAACATCCTGAAAACAAGTTCCATAACTCCAAAAATAATGACCTGTGCTCCAAACAAAACCCCTGTGACGAGCTGCAGGCTTCGGCTAATGGGAGCTAACATATACAAACTCTCCAAACACACACACGCGGTCCAGCTGCAGCGTCTCCTGAGATTTTTTTTTTTAACTGTGAGAGTGACCTTCAACCTCCATGCAAAGGTCATTTGGGGAAAGGTTGCTTGAGTCACACGCTCGGTGCATCTCCAGCAGTTTTGGACTACAAACTAATAAACCTCTAATGAACTTTCTTGGATCTGCGACTGGGATCACAACAGCACAGTGTCTGCTTTTGTTGGGCTGTTGAAGTTACTCAGCTTCTCATAAGGGGCTGAAAACAGAAGGAAGTGCCAGCTTGGCAGGATATTTTTGGATGGTGGACCATTCTTGACCCAGCAGTGACACTGAAAAAACTAAAAACCCCGGCGGCGACTACTAAGTGGTGCACCAGTCTAAATCACTATTGGATTTATACTTCGACAACAATTTTAGCAGGAAAATAAAATGTACTATAAACCTTTTAGAATATATTGCATAAAAATATGTCTGTTCTGATACAGGGTGAGGGGTAGGTATGTTGGGCTACATCAAACAATCATCACCTGTCAACTCTGGCCACACGTTAGACAGCCCTGGTCTAAGTGTTGACCTCATCATCAGGAGATCGGCTTACTTTGAACACAAACTCCAGTACCATCTACAGCCTGTAGAAATGTAGTGTGGGGCAGTTTTGAGTTGGTGTTAACCACTACACCATCCAACCTTTAGAATGACTGAGCTATGCCTTAGCAAGCCACTAATGCTTCTTAGAGCCCAACAATATGTTTGGATGCTTTTAGCCGTAGCATCACATTCCTGAACGTAGGGTTTCTTAAATACCATTTAACCTTTAGAGCCACAAGCAATTCCTTGGTTTTAGCTCAGAGTGGATCCATTTTCGATATGCAAGCGTTGCACATCTTTTTTAATATACTACAAGAAATATGAACACATCAAAGAGTGACATCTTTTGAAACACAACATGTATAAACGCCAACAGGTCTTATGAAGCTCTGAAAAAGAAACTGGAGCCTAAACATGCTTTTTCCAGGTAACAGTGCAAACGGTCTTCATAGGCACTTTTTGTAGAGGCCAACAGGTGGTGCTATAAGCTTCTTCCCTCTGCAGTCTGCTGCAGGATCAGGCAGCTTAAAACAAGGATATACTGCTGGTCATTCCCACTGGCTACTGAAAGTAATGACACTGATAATGTGTAACACAAGGTTTCATTAGCTAGACTAAGTGCTGAACAGACCGAAAACAATGAAAATGTGTGTGATTTTAATGAGCCTTTGTGGCCTAAATTTGCCTATACAGTTGAAAGTTAGCTACAAGCTGTAGAGAAATAATTCAGCAGTCGTCTTTTCTGCTGACGGCTCAAGAATCTAATGCATTTGGCCAAATCTCTCATGAAAATGGCTCAACTTCTGGCAGTCATTTTAATACAGCATTCACTGGACTAAAGAGAAGAGCTTTACTGGTGGGATCACTAATGATGCCAACACAACTGTGGATTCTTAATATCACTGATTTTGTAAGCAGAACACATATTTTATATGACTCACACTCATGAGTCCTCCAACAAGGTCATTGGTGTGGGGGTCATCCTCTTTGGAGCCCAGCTGTGGTGAGTAGAGTTCTGTTGTGCGTAAAATCTCCAAAACACGGTCCAGGGCTTCGGCAACTGTTACCGGGCTACTCTCCTGTGCTGCGTTTATGATGTTTATCACCTACAGAGAGAGAGAGAGAAAGATAGAGAGAGAGAGCTTTACTTGGACAACAGTGTAAAAAAAGAGGTGAACTGCTATTGTTAGTGTTTTCTATGGTTTTTCTAGTGGTTTCTGTCTGTGAAGTTTGACTGGGCTGTGAGCTGGGAGATTCTTCATAGCAGTAGTGGAGTCTGACTGGGCCGAAAACCAGTACAATTCTTTTTTTCTTTTACAGTGGGGGTGGAGTTTGACTGGGCCGTGAGCCGGGACACTCTTTACGGTGGAAATGGAGTCTGCTAGCCAGGAGATTCTTCATAGCGGTAGCGGAGTCTTACCGAGCTGTGAGCCTGGACACTACAAAGTGCAGTCAGGGGAGAGTTTTCTCCCTGCCATCTGGGGAACTGGGTATACATTTCTGTATGTTGTGTTTGCTGTGGATTTGTAGTGCGGCTGGAACTGTATTGCATCCTTGGGCTTAAGAAAGGCCCTACATAAACTTATGATTATTATTATTATTATCTTATTATCTTCCTCCCTAAAATGCACACCCTCACACACAAATCCACATGAACATACAGGCATGCACATTCACAAGAACACACACACACACCCCCTTGTACAGAACAACAGCCTCTGTGAGTGGAATTACGTAATGTACTTACACACGAAGATATGATCTAACATCAGTTTCCTTGCTCATGTAATCTAATTGATAAAGACATTACAGACAGAAACTAGATCTGAGTGTTGTGTGTCGTGTATCGTTCCAGCAGTGACTGAACGCTGAACACACACAACTCATTTATTAATATGAACTGCACAGAACATGAAATGTGTTCCATCATCTTTTTTCTGGTTTGTTTCCAATTTAATTTTGCACCCTTGAAGCTGGGGCGAATACTGACCTCAGCACTGTGCCAATGTTCTGCCAGCAAATTCTGCCAAAATTAGGCCTGTATTTAAATAGCATTATGCCAACATTCTGCCAGCAATGACAGTGTTTAACTAACATTATGCCAACATTTATCCAACATTAAGCCAACACTCTGCCGGTGTTTAGCTAGTATTATGTCTGTGTTTAACAAGTATTATATCAGTGTTTAAACTGCATTATGTCTGTGTTTTGCCAGCATTATGACAATGTTTATCTAGCATTGTGCCAATTTTTAAAAAAATTATGTTTAAATAGCATTATTTGCTAACATCCTGCTAGTTATCTGACACGCACAAACCCAACTAAACTCAAACTACTCCCCCAAAAACTCAACACAGTCATACTATGTTATATGTTTGCACACTAGTATGTCATAGATGTCAAAATCATTCTGGCATTGCCCTCATTTTAGGAGGGGCTGGTTACAGGCGAAGGGGACAGCTGGGAAGCATTCTGTCCCAGAGACATCGCTATAAGTGAGGATGACGACCACCGACTAGCTGACTTCACTGTAGCTGCCATGACCACAAACGATTTCTGACCGTGCATTTAACCACCTAGTTCAGGGGTCGGCAACATGCAGCTCTGGAGCCACATGCGGCTCTTCTACTGCCCTGTTGTGGCTCCACAGCAGAATTAGATTTGTAGGTAAAAAATAAAATAATTCTCTTCTGCAATAAAGTAAAGCTCTGCTGATTGTTCAACACAGTTTTAACAATAAATGGTCTTAAATGCTGGAGTTAATGTGGCCTATAACTGCTAATTGACCATTTAACCCTATAGATTGGCGCAAAGACTGCTGGTCACCATAACAACGCAGACAACAGTCTAGCTCCCGCCTAGCTAGTAGCTAACAAAACGGCGAATGGACTTATTTGCATTTATAATCACTCCAGCTGGTTTCCTGATACGCAAAGACTGCTGGTCACATAGCAGCGCAGACAACAATCCCGCCTAGCTAGTAGCTAATGAAAAGGTAAAGACAGATTTAAGATGAACATAGATAATTTGGAGATGAAGGGACTTATTTGTGTTTATAATCACTCCAGCTGGTTTCCTGATACATTTAATCTGCAGTGAGAAACTAACAAACACTAAAAAGTCGCAAGGCTGAAGGCAGTTTCTCATTCGCCAGCTTCTTCTTTGAATTTTCCCGTTCCACCTTAAATGGTGCAGCAGTTACAATCTGGCACCTCAGGTACCATCTGAGGTGAAACGGAAGATTCAAACAAGAAGCTGGTGAATGAGAAGCGACTACAGCCTCGTAAAAAGCTCAGAGACATTTTACAAGAAACTGTTCTACTTTTGTGTTAAAGTTTCCTGCCGGAGATGTGAGAAAAGCGGCTACAGCTGAGCTAAAGCTTAAAGCAGAGCAGAGTGAGTCTGTTTTTTGTTTATATTTTTTATGCTATACTAGTACATCAGCACGTTCTGAGGCATATTTACGGCCAAGATGGTAAAATGGACATAAAATGTTGTGGCTCCCAAAGTGGTTTAATTTTTATTGGAAGAACAAAACGGCTCTTCTTAATATCTGGGTTGCCGACCCCTGGACTATTTAAATTACAGCAGGCTAATTAACCACAGTTCTACCTTTTATAGACATCTAAATTGAATGGTTGAACATCAATTCCTCTTTTGTATGCTTTATTACCACGTTTATCTGTACTACTTGTTTATTTGCTACAAAAGCAGCAGCTTATGCTAGGAACTGGTTCAGCTAAGTTCGCACAATCTGCAAAAAGAATGGAGCAATGTAATGCTATGTTTACATGCTGGTGCCCCCATTAAAATAAAAATAACATGAATACAATATTGATTATTTCCAAAACTCTCATCAGGGAAGTCCACTGTTAATTGTAATCATCATCGAATATCTGGTTTATTCAAGAAACACTTAATTCAATCAGGTGATGCTGAAGGAATTTAAGAAATCCATATGATGGCTGGAGGTGACAAGGAGAAAATCTGAAGCCACACTTTGTTCATCAAACCAGCTCACAAGTTAAGATAAGACAACTATTTATTCCATGTTACATTTTTACTGTATTTATGTTAATTAACATTTATTCTAATGATGTACAGTGACTTCACAAGCAAAAAAATAAGTTCTTAGGAGCACAGTTACTGTATACGTGTGACTGTACCTTAGTGATTGGAGCCTCTATAGTCATAGAGTGAATTCGTGCCATAGAGGAGTATCTCCGGGTCTGCAGACTGGGGGCTAGAGAGAGAGAGAGGGAGTGAGAGAGAGAGAGAGAGAGAGAGAGAGAGAGAGAGAGAGAGAGAGAGAGAGAGATTGATTAAAATATACTAATGACTAATGACATAGGTTGCAATATACCACTTCTTCTCAGGCAAAAAACACACTGTACCAAATCAGATCATCCGATTGGCCAGCATCTTTGATCTGAAGCTGGGTCTGCTGTATATAATTTCTCATATCTAAGGCAGCCACTGTGAGCACTTGGATTTTTACGCACTCTCTCTTGCAGACCTTGGATTGGATTGGAGTCCATTGGTATAACTAAGAATAAATATATATATAGGTTTCTCACAATATATATATATATATATAAAAAGATTTCTAAACTGATTAATAAATACTTTATATTCTAAATATTAAATATAATAAATATTTTCAAAGTATGATCAAGTTCATAAAAAAACAATGATATTTTGATATTTTAGTTCAGTTCATTTTTACAGAAGATGCCATTAATTGTTGACGGCGCTGATAATTTATACAGTTTTAGTTGTTACCACTAAAAATACACTAATATGTCTGTGCCTTATTAACATTAAGTAAGTATTCTACACACATTACACTGTTAACAATGCAATTAATCAAGAAATAGGAAACTGTCAAGATAGAAAGTGAGAGACAGCATGAGAGAGAGCGGGCGAGAGACACAGAGAGAGACTAAAAGAGAGAGAGCGAGAGGGATATAGAGAGAGAGGGATAGAGAGAGAGAGAGGCTGGTCTTTAAATAGCCACTCTGCCTGCGTCAGAGAGTGCTGAGGCAGTGGGAGTGCTGATGTCATCACCGCTCACAACATCACTGAGAGAACTCCCCCCCCCGCTCACGCACATATGTGTGTGGGAGTATACACACACCCACGCATACACACACATACACACACATACACACACACACACACACACATTTCCTTTCATGCGATTTTCACTATGATTAACCCTCCTTACTCAGACACACACATATGGCTTGTTTTTATACAACGTCAGGACATGATATATATATATATATATATATATATATATATATATATATACACACACACATACACACACACACACACATATTTATGTATATATACATATATATGAAGTGGACACATATACCTCCACCTCCTTGTTTCTACACTCACTGTCCATTTTATCAGCTCCACTGACCATACAGTTTCACCTTGTAATGCTACAGTTACAGACTGTAGTCCATCTGTTTCTCTGCATACTTTGTTACCCTGTTCTTCAGTGGTCAGGACCCCCTTGGACCCTCACAGAGCAGGTACTGTTTGGGTGGTGGATCATTCTCAGCACTGCAGTATCACTGATGTGGTGGTGGTGTGTTAGTGTGTGTTTACTTTATTTTAGTGTGTGTTGTGCTGGTACGAGTGGATCAGACACAGCAGTGTTGCTGGAGATTTAAACACTGTGTCCACTCACTGTCCACTCTATTAGACACTCCTACCTTGTAGATGTAAAGTCAGAGACGATAGCTCATCTGCTGCTGCACAGTTTGTGTTGGTCATCCTCTAGTCCTTCATCAGTGGTCACAGGACGCTGCCCACAGGACGCTGCCCACAGGAAGCTGTTGGCTGGATATTTTTGGTTGGTGGACTATTCTCAGTCCAGCAGTGACACTGAGGTGTTTAAAAGCTCCAGCAACACTGCTGTGTCTGATCCACTCAGACCAGCACAACACACACTAACACACTACCACCACATCAGTGTTACTGCAGTGCTGAGAATGACCCCCCTCCTAAATAATACTTGCTCTGTGGGGGTCCTGACCACTGAAGAACAGGGTAACAGAGTGTGCAGAGAAACAGATGGACTACAGTCTGTAACTGTACTACAGAGTGAAACTACATGGTCAGTGGAGCTGATAAAATTATTAATCAGTGTAGATACAGGGTGGGTGTATTTAATGACGTATTCTATACTCACGTTATATATGTGTAAGTATCTTTATTTATTAAGTAATTATCCATAATTTTGTAATCCTAATACTAATCCTTACCTCAGCAACCAAGAAGAAAAGGTGTTCTTTCAGTTTTAGAAGTGAAGGATGGAGCTTTCAAAGCACTTTAGGAACTCAGGATCGTAAGTTAGCTTTATTTTTAGGATTTCCTACAAAGTGAAGCTATTTTAGTCCTAGAAATGCACAAAAACAAAACACAAGCACACACTCTCACCGTCGCTGCTGCGTGAGCTGATCGACCTGACGTCCACAGACTCTTTCCTCCGGTCCTTATGACGTAGGGAATTGCAATCTGGGAAAAGAGGCAGAATGGACAATGAGTGCACACGAACACGCTCACATCTGCGTCAGTTAACAAGCATCTTCCTTCATTACACTGTCAATGTACAGCAGCACTGAAGAGCCAAAGAGCCTTAGTTTCATTATGATTATGTTGATTAGTGAAGCTGTGTGCAAGTATATGATAACAAGCAGACAAGCCTAGTTTTCACAGCTGATGACTTCTAGAGACAGTAACTCTTATTTCCACAGAACTAATAATCACTACAAACTGTGTAGATCAGGGGTGTCAAACTCAACCAATAAAAGGGCCATATTAAAATTTTTTAGCAAATCTGTGGGCAGCTGTGTGTTTATTTCATTTTGCCATGACCTGAACTGGCCACTGTTTATTCAAAATATGCCAAAAAACTGCAACAGCAAAATAGTAACTGAATCCTATACAAAAATAATCCTAAATAAAAAGTGTCCAGTAGTTTTTTTTTAAAACTGCCTATTTGCTTGAACTAGACATGAGGCATCTTTTTGTGCAATCGCTGCCCCAGAGATTGTTGTTGGTGGGAGGGTTTCAAAATGCACTCTATGTTGCAGTGCATGCTGGGGACTGTAGTGCATCTTAGGGTGAAATAGCTTGTAAGAATAGAAAATTAAAATCATTTCGTGGGCTGAACACGACTGTGTCATGGGGCTGACTCGGCCTGCGGCCCTCGTGTTGGACACATTAGGTATAGAAAATAAAGAAAAGAGAGCGAGCAGAGTTGTTCTGTGATGGAATGACATAACAGAAGTGTCTGATGAGGTGAGACTGAAAGGTGGATGTGCCTTTGTTGCCATATTTTAAGTCAGTTCTACTCCAGACGTGACAAATTTATTGCTTTTTTTACAATCACATCGAAAAACAAACTGATTACAGCATAACGATTTTAAAATTCCAGTTAGAGTGATGCTCTGATTTCTCATCTCGTTTTTCACTTGAGGAGGAAGCTATGACTCCATCAACATTGTACACAATAATAATAATAATAATAATAATAATAAATTACAATATTATTTTTAAGAAAGTCAATTTACCTTATTAAAACAGTACAATTACCCAGGACTCTTATTATGACAGCAGCAGCAAACGAGGCACTATTCTATGCAAACTAAACATTCTTTGATCAAGGGTTTTTTGCGTGGATAAATCTGATAATTCATTTCTTTATTCTATCATTGTCCTTTTTCTCTTGAGTGTGTAAAAATATCAGCAAAAACCACTCGTCCTCCAGCTGCTAGCAAATATGCTAATAGCGCTAGCATTCGTTTCTGACCCAGCTACCGTTACAGTAGCAAATACATGTAAATTTACAATGTGTTAATTCTAAAAATACTGACAGAAACATAATATTATTCCATTTTACATTCTGGTCATACTTATGAATAAATATGATTATGCAGACAAAGAAAAATTTCCAACTGTAGTCTAGCAGAAATACTTACCGCTGTGTTATTAATATCTTCAGTCATTGTCATCATAGGACACATTTCAACTAATGTGTTTCGGCTTATTTATTGGCCTTATATTGGTGGCGTTGGGAGCATATTGAGGTGATATTTAAAGATGTACAAATGGCCTCAGTCAGGCAGTCAGTGACTCAGTGAGAAGCACTATTGCAGGCTGGCTTGCTGAGCAGTCTAGCAAAAAACGTGATAAACTGTGCATATATTTAACCAGGGCAGTTACTCAGTTCCACACATACACACTGGAACACAACTCATTCACATTTTAACAGGCTGTTGTCCCAGGATGCTCTGCAACCATCTGTGCAGGGGTACTAAGACATGCTCTCTCTCTCTCTCTGCCTTCTGCTGTCTGTTTTCATGTATTTCATCTACACTAGCACTCAAAAGTTTGGAATCACTGTTTTTAATTACAAAAACCACAAAAAAAATCCAGGATGATGCTGTAAAAGATTCCAAAGAGAAAGCTGTAAAATATCAAAAAAGAAATTCATTTCCAGCATAGACTGTATTTGGAACATGGCGTTCAAATCTAAAGGCAGATTACTTGTCAAGAAATAGCCAAAAACACACAACTACAATATTTTTCTACCATTTAATAGCATCTCAAAATATTAAATGAAACATAATGAAATACCTTCTGGTGTTTAGCTTACAGTCGATCTCCACTGTAATAAATTATTATTAGTGTTAAGTTAATGCATTAATAATGGGTGAAGTTAGAGCAAATAACAAATGCAAGTAATCTCGATTAACTACAGAAGCTACTGAGATTAATCAATATTGCTTGTTTGAATCGTTTGACAGCCATAGTTATTATTGATAAAAATGACATCCTTTGAATGCTTCTATATTCAGAAATGTCACAAATTCAAGATGGTGTGTTCAGAAATAAGGCAATAAACCAAAGAAGTATAACAGCTATGTGTACATTTGTGTGAAGTATTTCATTTTTGCCTTCAGAGCAGTTTATGTAAGTATATGAGTTGTATTTCTCCTCATCTTGCCTATTATAGAAACTTGAATTTTCTCACTGTTGCCTTGGACAAAGTTAAGGAGTGTCTAATAGAGCATAAAGGCAGAGACGAGAGCTCCTGTTAATGCACAGTTTGTGTCGGTCCTTTTCTAGTCCTTCATCAGTGGTCACAAGACGCTGCCCACAGGTTCTCAGTTCTCAGGTTCACAGGTTTTTGGTTCTCAGTCCAGCAGCAACACTGAGGTATTTAAAAACTCGTTGATCCACTTGTACCAGTGCAACACACTAACACACCAACACCACCACGTCAGCACCACACGTCATGTTTACATGCAGCCTGTTAATCAGCTAATAATCTGACTAATAGCTCAATCGGAATAGAACATGTCCATGTACATATGGACTAGACTAGTCCGATTGAGGACATTCGGAATACGGTTTCTATCCGACTGATCGAGGTGGGTAATCCTGTTAACAATCCGTTAAATAGAAGAATAATATCCGTGTAAACGCCTGTATCTGATTACATTCCCTATCTGAAAGTTTAAGTACGTTCTGCGCATGTTCGTCATGCGTCACGTCAGGCTGGTTGTCATGGTAACATCTACACTAAGCGGTTCTCTACGTATGTGCGTAGTTATGGATCTGATTATTGTAGTTAGCATGTAAAGAGATTTTCCATCAGATTGTTGAGTAGAGTGAGAATAAACACCTCAGTCTTAATATATAATCAAAATGTATTCAATCGGATTGGAGAAAATCTTTGCATGTAAACACAGCCAGTGTCACTGCTGTGCTGAGAACGACCCACCACCCAAATAATACCTGCTCTGAGGGGGTGCTGTCGGGGTCCTGACCACTGAAGAACAGGGTAAACAAATTATATAGGCAAACATGTGGACTACAGTCTGTAACTGTACTACAGAGTCCATCTATATGCAAAGCAGAGCTGAGAAAATGGACAGTGAGTGTAGTAGAAAAATAACAACTCAGTGAATAAGAGTATATAGTGGCAATATAAGTCTTATTTAATTGAAGTAGGTGGACAAAATATGTTAAAATATGTATTATTACAATATGTTCTTAATTCTAAATGGTATTTATTTGGTATGCATGTGAAAGTTCACACTGTTAAGATAGGTCAGATGTAGATTTTCTTCGTGTGTAAACAAGCTAACATTTGTATGGTGGAAATTTCTTTGTTTTTATCCCCTTAAATGGCCAGAGTCACCGGTGGACCTGCACTTCTATACCCTAAGAATAGCTCCACTAGTTAGCACTGAAGTCCCTGTAGTTAATGAATAATAAGCCTTAGTGTGTAATAAGATGGGTTGACTTGTGTACACTGTATAAAAAACCACAAAAACACACAATGCTGTAAAATGTACAGTAAACTAAGCTGCCAGTAATGTAGTGTGAATATACAGTACTTTGAGACATTTTACAGTAATAATACTGTAGTTCTACATCACTAAAATCACAGTAACTATTGTGAACACTCAGTTTGTCCCTGTATATCTACAGTAACACTGGACATGTTTTCACAGCTGGAGTAAAGAATGTGTACAACTATAGTAAACAGATGAAAATACTAGCTGCTGTGTAATATCTGGACTTAAATTTGACCACACCGGCTGGTGTTTGTCTGCGCTGGTACCTGACTGTGCGTTTTCTCCGCAGCATCTCTCATCTCTACTGATCTTGTGGACCTGCAAACAAGTACAACAAATCAGGTTAACCCTTTAGCAGCCACCTCTGCATTCTGATCTGCTCTTCTTCCTCAACAGTGTGATTTATCAGTGCTGTTACATTTATTTCGATATATAAAGAACGAGACCTAACGCAGCTAAAGATTCATAGACTTTGGTTTACAAACTTTGACTTTGAACAAGAATTACAGAGCTGCCATTTGTAGCTGCTACGCTAGCATCTATTTATGTTTTCCCTGCTTTGATACAAATAATTAAGCTTCACAACGAGGTTCGTAATTAGCAGTATGAATCAAAATACAGCAGTGGAGAGGAGCTCAAGAACTGCAGCTTTGGGTTATATTTATAAAAATAGTGCCTATTCATGCAGCGACACAATGAATCATCAGTGGTTTGTTTTTTATGACTGGTTTGGTATAATGTTATCTTCAAATCAGCATGATCTGCTTTTACTAACACTAACCAATTTAGGTAGCGAAAACTATGCTAACGTTGTATTGCAGTGAACTTGCGTTGTAATGGGTTTCGTTTTCAATGCAGAGCAAACTGCACCAAAGAAAACAAAGGCCAATGTCCACCTTGAACGCCAAGCATGGAAAAGTATTGTGAGGCTGAAACTTTCATGCAGCTAGTTGCATCTTTTGAGCATCATTTCTGTGCAATTTAACAGTTTCACAAAGCAATTAAAACAAAATTTCTTCACTTCTTAGCTGAATTAGCAGGTCATTTTGCTTGACACATTATATCCATCTTGCTTTAATGTCATCTGCAAGATATTATTTACAGCAAATTTATCTTCCTATTTTTTCACCTGCAGCTGTTGCAGCTGAGTTTCAAGCGAGTTGCTGGATGCGACCCATTACGTAACTTTAGTGAAATTTAGTTGCGTGTAGGTTTCCAGCATCTAATTTTGCAGGAAAGTTTTAAAGCTAGCCTAAGAGAAGTCTGAAATCCAGCAGCACACTCAGCATGGTAATGACTCTGAGGTTGCCATCTCTTGACTCGCCTCCAATGGTCTCAACTACAGCACTACTCACCACTCGTCTATCTGAGTGAAGCAAAGCCTCACCTGTCTGTTGCTGTCACAGTGAGGCCTCTTGATTGCCACAAAGTGACGGATCTTCCTGTAAGGGTCAGAAAAGAGTCGGGTGATAAGTTGCAGGTTAACTTCAGTCAGAAAAAGTTAGAAACTGATGGTCACAGAGAGAGCGGACTCACCCTCCCTGGCCAACAACAGGGGTGATTTTGACGTGTTGCTGGATGCTGTCTCCTGATTTCCTCCTGGCGTAATAAATGCCCTGCCACTCCTACGCATACAGACCCGACCAAACAACATGAGTTATTTTTCATTCTCCATACTCAACATCAGACATAAACACCCAGCCGACATTGCTATTTCTGTCTCTGTTCAAATATCTAACATACCGATTAAGTTACCCTACATTCTTAATAAAGATGATTCTTCAAAGGCTCATTTATATTATATTATATATACATATATATATATATATACACACACACACACACACGTACATATATCTTAGTGGTGTCAATTGATTAAAAAAATAATCGAATTAATCTCACTAATAGGTTGTGATTAATCATGATTAATCGTGAAGTTTAAATAGTATTTACTTGTATTTTTGGGGGAGATAAAACAAATAAAATGAATTGTATGGAAGTGAAAAGGCAGGGCTACACTGAGCTTCTGCTGTGCCAGCGTTGCCTTCAGTGTGTCTTTGTTTCGTCTGACCCGCTTTATCATTTTGAGAGATGAATTCCAGATCGTGGTACATCCTGGACGAGCGTCTCCTTTTCTTGACCATGAGAGGCTGAACTTTCAGCTCTGCTGTGTTCGAAATGTCAGACTATTTTTTATACAACAGTCAGTTCCGGCCACGCAAGCTGATTGGTTGAGAAGCGTTCTAACTGTGCTGTTATTTCACCATAACATCACGTTTTTTTTTCACAAACACTGTATCACTCCGCTGAGACCTGCTGTCACGGAGAACCACTGTGATGACCCTCTGTATAATGTGCTCGAATAGTAGGTTCCTTGCTGCGGCAATCTTACTGCGAGCATCTGTTCCTATTGTGGTGACCTTTAGTCATCCAGTTCCTGAGGGAACTTTAGTTTTATCTAAACTTCCATCTGGAAGCTTTTTAAAACGAAACTTGCCGTTTGGTACACCAGGGGATGTTTGCTCAGTCATCCTGTTATCTATGCTTGTGCCTTTCAGTAAATCCATGCGGAATTTATGAGAGGAAGTTCGGGTCAAACTTGATTAATATGATTAATTTGTGTTAAAAAAAATAATGCGTTAACACTGACAGCCCTAATGCATAAATATATCCCTGCTGGCGGAACAAAACCTTGTATCTCCATTTTTGTTTTTCAGTTAGTCTGAAAATGCCTGTTGATCTTTACACTGTGGGTTAATTTCAGGATGGTTCCATTGACTTACATTCAAAGTTTTTTCCTTCTCCTGTAAAGTTACCATTTTGGAAATACCAGGTAGATATGGAAAATGTACAGTAGATGATTCTATATAGAACTTTTTCAAAAAGGGTTCTACATAGCTCCCAAAAGGGTTCTTCTATTGTTACAATGTCAAGCTTGTTACAATAGAAGAAGCCTTTTGGGTGCTACATAGAACGCCTTTCAAAAAGGTTCTATGTAGAACCATCTACAGTACATTAATACATTAGTACATTAGTTTAATCATGCAAAGAGTTCTTTGCGTGTTCATGGTTCTGTATAGAACCATTTTCTTTACTAAAGAACCCTTGTAGAACCATCATTTTTAATAGTGTAGACTTCGTACTCTTGGTGTGACTATTAGTGGGCTTTGATTGGTTGAAGTGTTGGTGGACTGGTAGGCAGCGATGGGTGCTCTGTGATTGGCTGACCTTGCCCTTCTTGATGCAGGTGTTGATGGACTCCAGCAGATCAGCACAGTTCTTGTCACTCTTGGAAAACTCGGTCAGCTCCTTCCCGATCAGCTCCCCCTTATGGTAGCCCATCATCCGCTCGAAAGCAGGGTTTACATACTAACATACGCAGACACGACCACAAAGACACACATACATATAACTGTAAAACATATACACATACATCATTCCTTCACACTGTGTGAACACATAACGATGGATGGGATAATCTTATTATATTTACTTACCTTAAAGAAGCGTTTTCCTTTTCTATGCAGTTACCATTTCAGATACTGAAGGCTTACTTACAGTGAGAGATAGAAACCTCAGAATCCTGCTATTCAGGTAACTGCATGGAAATTAACTGTGGTGGATGGTGAAACTAGGTTGGAGTGGGGGGGGCTTTGTGGGGCTTGCGATTTTTCTGACCAATATTGTGACTACGATCTAAATTGCAGCTGTTTATAACTAAGGTGTAAACTGAGGTAAGGGCATTTTTTGGCTAAGAAAACCAGCGTATATATTTTCTGGCTTGAGACTTGAACGGTTAACACAGAGCGCACAGCCAGTTATTCGAGCCTGTGATGTCACAGCAGTTCACAAGCTCCATGTTATTAGCTAGAATTTCCCTACTTGTAACTTGCATCGTATCAACGTTGATGACAATAGACTGTAAGATTATAATAAAAATTGCGGCTCTTGCGATTTGAAAATTGTGATTTCAATATAAAAACGATTAATCTTCCAGCCCTGTCCTCAAGTGTTTACACAAAGGTTATTATAGTCAATTAAAAATATCATGGTGACACTTTAGAATTAGATGACCTTTATAAAGCGGTTATGAAAGATTTAACATTTGTTTAATAATGGTTATTAGTTAGGTTATAAACATATCAGTAACGTAAATCAAGCTATATTTCACCTGATGCGCCAGAATGTAACTGCTGCACCATTTGAGGTGGAACGGGAACATCTGAACAAGAAGCTGGAGGTGAGGAAGCCAACTTCAGCCTCGTCATATTTCTTTCACTAATGAAAAACGTTTTTTTTTCTGAAGTATCTTATATATTTGGCTCCTATTTCACGGTAAACTTGCTGTGTAAATGTTTAGAACTGTATTTAACGCTAAATAAGCTTTTAGGACGTTAGCATCCGAACGCGAATCTTAGCTTAGCTTACACTGCACTAGTTTTGTGGCCTGCAGCCTTGGAAGGGTTTGAAAATAAAAATAAGATCCAGAGCTACAAAAACATTGTATATTAGCCCTTTTAGCCTTTTCAGGACATTTAACAACCCATCCGTGAAGCAGAAGGACTGTTTTGTTTCAATGGTTACGCTAGCATGAGGCAGCAAATGCTACTGCTGCACCATTTAAGGTGGAACGGGAAAATTCAAACAAGAAGCTGGTGAAAAAGAAGCTGACTAACTTATTTCTGCTGTTTTTACGTCAGTATTGTTTTGTCCCATCTGCTAATGTTTGTGGTTAGCTTAGCGGTAGCAATTGTAGCAACAGTTTGCCAACCCACAGCCTAGCTAACAGATCAGTTACATTACTTGCAGTGTTGATGTTCAAGCTAACATTATCTCATATCATTTGTCCTTACAGTGTTTGCGAAGGGTTTTATGGCCATGAGAATCTAAAAAAAGTGTCGTTTGCCTTGTCAATGCGCGTACATGAATTTAGGGGGCGGAGCTTCTGAAGGAGCACTGAAGGGAGGGGTGTGCTTGTTTTGGGAATGCTGGGAATCGATTCTGCGTCTTTAAATGTGGCATCCAGCCCCGCCCTCGATTGGTATTGGCTATCAGCGATTGGTATCTCCCCAAAAACACTGACCGGTCCATCTGTAGTACTATAGTTAACACCTGTTTCAGGCTCTGAAAAGGTCGTAGGCACTTCATCACCCACCTGTATGACATGATCTTCACTAGTGATCTCTACAGCTTCCTGACAGTGTTCCAGCGCTGTGAAGATAGAGTTACAGGCTCTGTCTCACACACACACACACACACACACACACACACACACACACACACACACACAGATTCAGAAAGGAATAGTATACATTTAAAACCCCACACAATTAACAAACGATGAATCTTCAGGTGGTGAAACTGTAAAGGCCCCAGCAAACTTCTTGCGAAACGAAATTCTCGAGGGTTGTGCGAAGCCAGAAGTGCCTTCGCGAGCTTATAAGCTTGAATACTTTCTGCGGCTTCATGTTGCCTGATGCTCCACTATTGCAGGTGACGCTATGACATTTTATGATGAGTTTCATGACTGCTGGAGAACGACTCTTTCACAGTTCTAACTATGGTGACGTTTGAGTACAGAATGCTGCCACCATTTAAGGCGGAATGGGAAAATTCGAACAAGAAGTTGGTGAATAGGAAGCCGACTTCAGCCTCGTCCTCTTGTGAACCTAAATATAAGCTAACCTGTATGTTTTGGTGCTTAGTACTAGTTAGTACTACCCTAACAGACTTAACATCTCACATTTAGGAGGTTTTCACTGTTTATTTAACAAATCTGCGTTTCACGGTGAAATATTAGTGTGTCTGCCAAAGCCGAAGCTACTCAAAGTTGTCCACCTTTGTTTCACACCACGCCTCTTTTTAACCAATCAACCACAGACTCTGTCTCTGTCATGAAGCGTCTTCGTCCACAGAGTTCGTCCAGCAGCCATGTGCACAACGCGGCGAACGAAGCCTCCGTGCAACATCTGAGGTTGTTCGTTTTCTCCGCAATTACATCATGTTGTTCGCTGAAGTCAGGCAAACTTCGTCTCCGCAAGAAGTCTGCTGAGGCCTTAAGGGTCTGTATGTGGGTCTACACTAATTTCTCACTCTAATGGCCAAAGTAGTTAAGGAATAATTAAGTTATAGAATAAGTGGGTCGCAGGGTCATGGTTTAGGCCCCTACCTCAGTTTGAACTGGGAGCGAACCTCCACGTGCTCTATTTGTATCAGCTCATTATAACAGGCTGACACACTGGTATTCTCCATAAACCTCTGAGGGACAGAGAGAAAGAGAGAGCGAGAGAGAGAGAGATCATTATAAATGAGAACCTAGTATTCATTTGTAGTTAAACAGGAATGACATAATTCTACAATTAATTATGTTGTTCTGCAACTTATTACATTTATATTCAGTTTACATTCTTCACTGACAGGTTCAAGTCTGCTTTTTCCCCATTTGATCTGATGTCAAAAACTGACTGCAGAGGTGCAGCAGGGATGAGCATTTCAGTCGAATCTGATATTTGAATTTGTAAGCTATTATTTGACTGATGTGCAGAAAATCTCTAAACTTTGCTTTTAATGAAGGTGCATAACATCCTGAACGGTTCACTGAGCTCAGCTTTTCTCTATTACTGCATTACATTAACCCAGAACCAGACCTCAAGAAGTCAGAGTAGGTGATTTGTGGCTTGAAATTTACACCAAGAAAGGCAGTCGATCTATAATCTTTAAGATAAACAGACGAGAATGACCACCGTTGCTAACCTTGTCACTAGGGCTGAACGTTTTTGGGGAAAAAAAATCATCTAATTGTGATTGTAATTAAAATGCAGTTTCTATAAACTGAGCTCAGCAAGGAAGATCAGCACATTCATTCCTTCAGGCTTGAGGCTTAAATGTTGAATGTAGTGCGCCTAGGCTAGGCGAGTTCACGAGCTCATGGGCTTCATTTATGACTTAGTTGAAGCAACACTGGATAATATAGGAGGTTTAAAGTTGCAGCTCTTGCAATTTGTAAATTACAGTATTTCAAACTGCAATTTCAAGTTAAAAAGCGGAGGAAAACCGTTCCAGTGGCGTTTCCACGCGGACACATCTCGATACAGAATGCTTAAAAACCAGGCTCGGCATGGTTTCAGCATGGTTAGCTAACCCTACTCAGGGCCACAGAACCATTCGGTGTTGTGGCATGCTCCCGTCCCCCTGGCCGCGATGACGGCTGCGAGAGCCTGCAGGAAGGCAGGGCCCGAAGACCAAGCGGTGACGAACCCCGGCGAGGGCGGCGGGGAGAGAGACGCAAGTGAGTGGGGGACGGAGCGCAAAGCCCGAGCTTTGCCGAGGGACGCGAGTGACGGCAGGAGAAGGAGGACGGCGATGCTGGCCACGAGAGGCACGAAGGCAGGGTGCAAGTCCCGAACTTCACCACAATTTTAAAAACACCACTCAATAAATACTGAAACACAGCTTCAATCTAACACCAGTTTCTAAATATTAAACAGTGCTGATAACCAGGAGAGAGTAGCTGGTTAGCATTAGCCTAGCTAGCACGCTGCCAGCTCTGCTCAGAACAGGTTTGATTCTGACTAACAAGAGCTCTACTGATACAAATTTAGATGATACTGACTCAGAAAGTGCTGTAAGCTGTACCCTGCTAAGCTAAGCAGTGTGTGGTTCTCCCACCACAGTGTGGGATGATTAAAAACACTCGTTTAGAACACATATTCTTATTTTCACTAATCGTGAGTAGCAGAAACCTCGTGTCTCTAAAGTGGGAACTTTATAGGAAAAGAAAGAACATTTCAAACTTCGAATGGAAAGTTATGGGACTAATTTTGGACTGCTTATATTGTTCCACTCATTATGAAATTTTAATTCCAAAAAATACAGAAAACATACAGAGACTCTTTCTGTTATTCTGCTTCTAAACTATTCAGCTCAGTTTACCTGTTATTACACAGTCAAGCTCAGAGCTCACTTTTAATAAACACCTAACATTCTTTAATTCAGCGTTTAATTAAAATTCTACATTTGTTTTGGTATTTATCTTTTTAATTTGATCTGCGTCACTGTCTAATATAATTTTATACTGATACACTTTCTTAGTGTTAAGCTTTATCACCTGTCTGTAAAGCATTTTGAGCTGCCACTGGTTTGCAATGTGCTCTAAAAGTATCACTATTATTAATATTATTATGGTTATTAGTACACATTAGTACAGCTAAGAACAGTAGAGACAGACGTCTGAAGTCTGCACTTCGTCCATACTGTTGTTCAAACATGGAAATACGGCCTGTCTGAAGGACTAAGTTTGGGGAAAGTTTGATATTTTTCTACTGAACTTCAGTTCAATGGTGTTAAGTTGATGAGGGGGAACACTCACTCTGGAGAAACCAGAACACAGCAGAGGCAGCACGGAGGGCTCCTCTTGATCTAGAGGGCTGAGAGAGACAGAAGGGACACAGGACAGAGAAGGACAGAGAGTGAAAGAGGAGTGAGAGAGAGGAAACTGAAGTTAATTCCACAGCTGCACAAACGAACGAATTCTCTGGTAGGCTGAGTGAGAGAAGGCAGACTGGCATGGTCACATTATTTTAAGCTGAGATGTAAAGGGTGAAGTTTTGGCTGGATAAGGAATTTGTACGATTGGAGGAATGACTGAGTTTGAGTGACAGCTGGGAAGTTCTTACATTTGTGGCACCACAGCAAGAATAACAGTGTGTTCAGAAGGCTTGGTGGCTCGGATCAACCTGGAGAGACAGAAACAGACATGCAGGTTATATACAAACACAGTCCACCTCCTTGTTTCTACACTGATTGTCCATTTTATCAGCTCCACTGACCATATAGTTTCACTCTGTAGTTCTACAGTTACAGACTGTAGTCCATCTGTTTCTCTGTATACTCTGTTACCCTGTTCTTCAGTGGTCAGGACCCCCATGGACCCTCACAGAGCAGGTACTATTTGGGTGGTGGATCATTCTCAGCACTGCAGTAACACTGACGTGGTGGTGGTGTGTTAGTTTGTGTTGCGCTGGTCTGAGTGGATCAGACATTGTTCAGCTTTGTTTGATGTGTCCGACTCCTTTTCTCAGTGAGGTTCTTCTTGACAGCTACACATCCTTTCAGACCCACAGCGCTGAGTCGTCTTCTCACAGTGGAAGGATGGACAGAAACACCTGTGGATGTTTTCAGATCTGAAGCAGCTTGATTTTCTCCTCTCTCTCAGAGATGAAAGCTTTAAGTGCTGTTTATCTGATGGGGGCAGTTTTGGGGTCTACCAGCTCTTCCAGGTGGTTGTTAGGAGGCACATTTCCTCTGTAGCTTTTAATCAGTTTTGGAAACTCAATTATTTTCTTGTGACTTTGTCCTTCCTTACGCAAGTGGATTGTTTTATATCTGATCACAGAAATACCTCCTGAAACATGAATACCTTGTACTTAATGGCTGATTTGACTAGAAATCAAATAAATTAATATCTCTGACTTTTGCACTGCTGTACATTGAATTTGTAACTGTAAAACAACAAAAATATCAAAATCTACCAATAATTTTGTCCTGATTTATCGATTTTTCATACTTACTTATTGTCCCAGGCTTATTTACTTAATAAAAGTATAAAATGATTCTAATGTGAAACTGTCACAGAATTCATATCCAGTGGTGATCAAGTCTTAATCAAAATTAGTTATAAATAGATAATTACAGTTGCATGCATCAAATGATGCTGTTGATTTTGTTGCTGAATTAAAATATTGGGAGAATAATAATACATGAAATGTGGCCTGTGCAAATGTTATGATATATTTTATATTTTACATTTATTTTTTCCCCCTAATATGTTACATTCAGCTAATAAACAGTAATTGTGTATTAAAGTGTGCAGAGGTGTGTTCTCGGTAGAGGACGTGTAACTTCAAATCAACAATAACATGCCATTTGATCAGGGGTGTGTCAACTTCTGCGTACAACAACAATGTATAATGTATTATTCATCATTTAATACATTTTTCTTGATCCCACAGTGCTCACATTTATTGAATGAGAGATCTACAGACGTTGAAGTATATAATCCATACAGTTATGTGCACTGTATGAGTTATTATTGCATATAAAATAACAAAAAAGATCAGTACAGCAGGTGTAAACAGAACAGTACAGTATGTGTCTGTGAGGCTCACCGACAGACCGCTTCAGCTTCGAAGTAGCGTGAAGGCCTCCCGTCGATGACCACGATCTCATGATGTTTGTCCAAGAAGCATTCGACCGCAGACTCAGGGCGTACGTGCGACACTACATCTGAAGCCCGCCCGCTCACACGCCCACCAGAACGCATCACTCTGTCCATCCTCTTTAGCGAAGACCAGCAGCACCTGCAGAGGTGAGAGTTACACAGGTTACAAACACATGAACACAATTATGTTTTACACTTAAAGGAACTCACAGAGGGAAAACGACATCAGACGTGTAAATATTTGTGCAATTTTAGTAACAGTGCTACTTTAGGAGTAAAACCAAAGGCCACGCCCATTTTCTCTCCCGGTTGTGATGTCAGCACTCATCAGCAGTCAGCTTTTAACAACAGTTTGGGAAAGAAAACTGTCATATCATTCTTTCTAAACCTGCTCTTCATACCAAGAAATATGAATATGAACAACAGCTGATCAACCAACACCTGCACAGGGATTTTTCTTATAAGTTGAAATAAAATAGTCACTGCAATTCATTCAGATGTCAATACATTGACCTGAACAGATGCATTAGAGATGGACCGATCAGTGATTTTGGGGTTGATTCCGTTCAGCACAATCGGCTATTAGTTGATACCGATCAAGGGCAGAGCTGTTAAGGCCTATACAAATATCATGTATTGGCCAACCTACAAAAATCAGATATTTTTTTTGTTGTTTTTTTTTTTTTTAGGGGGGGTTTCCCCAATTTTCTCATATCCAATTCCAGCCACTAGTCAGGACTCCCCCAATCACACGATACCAACAACGCGAGAAGGGCGAAGGCTAGCACAGGCGTCCTTCCAGTGAAGCACCACCGCATCTTTTCAAACAAATCTCGCTCGGAGGAGACGCTAACCACCAGTTCTGTTATGTCAGCTAACAGACGCCCGCACTGACTAGCATCACGCTGAGTGATGGGGAAGACGGAGGGGCCATTCTACCCACCCAGAGAGAGAGGACAACTGTGATCTGATGCTCCTTACTGCAGAGACGGTACTGATCTCCTGCTGTCTGAACTGTGCTGAACCACATCACTACATCACCTCTCCTTAATACACACTGTGCAATATATCTGCTACTGTAATGACTCACTCCACACTTTACACGGTAATACTGCTGCAACTCCTAGTTATGTCTATGTTCATTGTGCTTTTAGACTTCCTCATACCACTCAGTGCCTGCTATCATGTAAATACAGCAAATCTGTCTTATATGCTATGTAAATATGCAAACACACATACTTTTTTTTTTCTACTATCTTATACTTTCACTTATATCTATTAGGGGTGCAACGATTATTCGGCTTAGTTGACTAAAATCGATGACCAAATTAGCTGACAACTAATTTAATAGTCGATTAGTTGGTGAAGTCATTACGCGTCCTTATTGCGCTCGCTAGGAATGTTTTGCCATTACTGCTCACTGGAGAGTTAACAACAGCGTGATGGCTGCCTCAAGAACAAAATCCTCAAAAGTGTGGGAGCCAAACTCAGAAAATAAGGTTGTCAGTTTAGTGTTATTTGTAAAGCCGAGCTTAGCTGGCACGGGAGCACATCCTCCATGTTGCAGCATCTTAAGAGGAAACTTCCCCATCCACTCCATCAGAGCACATCTGCTCTCAGAGGGGAGCGAGACTCTCACAGGAGCACGGAGAGACGCTGACTTTACTTCGTTTCAATAAAGACCTGTGACTGTGTGGAATTTAGTTTCAGCAGAGTGAAGACAGACAGCAGAGTGCAGAGCACAGACTGCACTGTTTACATTTAACATTTAAATTTAGATTGACTGTTTTTATTTACTTGATTAAAGGAAACACTGATTTAGTTTGTTATATTTTATTGTTGCTACTTTGCACATCATTGGTTATAAATTTTGACAGGAAAAATACATTGGAGTTTTATTTTTCCATCTTTTGTATTAGCAGGAAAGTTCATTAAAACAGTGAATTCTTGAATGTTATTCATCTTCATTGTCTTCATCGTTAGTTAACAAATGCATAAAACAACCTCCAGCTAAATTTAAAAGCTAATAGCTACATAAAAGTACTTCGGTGATGCAGTGATTCATAATCCAAATAAATCGATTATTCGTTTTCGGAATCGATAGATTATTCAACTATCGAATTAGTCGTTTGTTGCAGCCCTAATGTCTATTTTTATTTCCATTTTTTTATGCATAGTAGATGTAAGTCTACATGCAATTATATGTCTTGCTACTGAAACACTGCAATTTCCCTTCGGGATCAATAAAGTTCTATCTGTCTGTATGTCTGTCTGTCTGTCTGTCTGTCTATCTCTTGGACTCCTGGCTGTAGGATCACAAGGGACTGCACTGAACTGATCTCCTGATGAAAGGGCCAACGCTTAGACGGTTGTGCCACTCGGGAGCCCAACGGATGCGATATAAACACAGACCTTCACACAAAGTCCAAGGCGTTTTTCCATCTAAACACTCTGAAAACTTTGTTTTCTTTTAAGCACTGCATTTAAGCAGTGCATACACCGGACACATCCCATTCTACAAAAAAAAAAAGACAACAACACAGGGAGTCCCAGTGCTGCATAACGAGCGATTCTGCAGGTATTTCCGTGAGGAAGTACTGACGATATATATGATACGTTCAGAAATGCATATTATACTATATTGACATAATAGATCATGATAACAATATATATTGTCATATTGCCCAGCCCTAGAGCCTATATAGCTTTAATAGCCACTGCCCAGCAAACTACTACACTAACTTCAGTTGCACAGTACCCCATGAGAACCTGTGTAAGCTACATTTGACGCTGTAGTTTTAATCTAGATGGAGATTAAAGAAGTTCACTTTAGCCTTTTTGGGCAAACAAAAACAAGCAAACAAAACTAGCATAACACAACACACAATATAAAGCCATAACTTAGCCCTGATCATGGTAACATAAGTGTAACACAGCTTCAGGTGGCTTATTGTGCTTATACAATGGCATCTACAAACCTTGTTGCATTTAATATTTACGTTTACATGCACTGTACGAGTTATTATTGTATATAGATGAACAAAAATGATAAACATAAGAGGTATAACAGCCCTGATCTAGGCTTGCCCGAATAATCTGAATACCTGAGTATTCACTGGTTATGTTGGTATTCGTTCATGTATTTCATCTTTTGTTTTCCCCTTTAGACCCAACGAGAAATGTGGATTCCTGACAGTTTTTTAGGTTACGGCCTTCACAACTTGAGCGTGATTCATTTGTACAGCAATAAAATAATTTCAGAACGTGAACAACTTATGCTAACCCACAATGAATAAAGGCTCAAATCGGACTCAAAGGCTGCTCAAACTGGACTACGAACGTACGAGTTATGTGTGCAGGCACACAAACCTTCAGCCTCTAAAACAGCTCCAACTGAGTAATGAAAGTCCGAGCTGGGAGTGAAAGAGCTCAAAGTTTCGGCTCCTGAATGAGGCGGGCATGTTTGGTTTTATCGTAGTGCAAATAATGGTGGAAATAACGGCCCATTGTGTATTGCTTAGATGCCAAAAAATCCGATTACTGCACATTTTCCTGTCATTTATTTGCTTCACATATGGTGTGTAACCACCTTTAAAGGCTTATATACAAACCATTTTATGACAAATGGCAATTACTTAAAGATGGACGTAATAGGCTATGAAAACGATGTCCTACACCACTGCTGTGTCCCCATCATACAAGCTGGCCCACGAAAGATACTGAAAAAACAACTGTGAATAAGTTTGTGTTTGGCCTCGTAATGTCAGCTACAACTAAGCCATCTTTAGAACCTCATCAGTTATGTTACTGGAATATAAACAACAATAAACAACACATCAGCCCAAACATAAACAGACAGAAAAAAAAAACACAGATCTTACATGTCCTTATCTGTCTCTCTCATTTTCGCTCTCATCTACCCTTCAGTTTTTCCCTCCACCCACTCTCTTCCTCTCTCTCTCTCTCTCTCTCTCTCTCTCGCTCTTTGACTCTCTCCCAAAACTAACAATCTGCTAAAGCTTACTGTTTACTGTCCCACAGCATCATCACTGCTCCCTGAAGTTCAACTAGTGATGTATGAGAAAGAAAGAGAAACGGAAAGAGCTTAAAATTAGAGACTACACTGTGTTGTGCATAAAAAAAAAAACAAAACAAAATGCATGTATCTTCTCCTTTGCTATGGTGATGATGATGAAAGTGGGAAGAAAAAGAAAGAGAGAAAAATGCTGTGGTGTTGGTGGGTGGGTGTGAAAGTTCAACACTCTTTCATCCTGAGCAGCGCTGGGTAACCACAGAGCCCGAGTGCGAAATTCCGCATGGGCCCAGTCACGCAGCGGACTTTTCCCCACTGCCACCTCGCTCAGAAGGCCCACCCACTTTGCATCGCCGCACGTCCACCTTCGGGGGGCGCAGTAACCTCACCCTGCTCTCGCTAGACCTGCCAGCACTGCCATCTCAAAAAAAAAACAAAACAACTCACAATATGGCAACAATCACCAAACTGTGCTGCTGTCAAGGATGCAATATAGCACATAGTGCTGGGCAAAAGTCAGAAACCCCTCATTTAATTAATTTCCAGTCAAAGTGGAAATTAAGAACAAGTCATTTTTCAGCATATGTTTGTGAGGACATTAGATATAAGATAATCCACTTGCATACGGAAGGTGGAAGTCAAAGAAAAATAAGTGAGCTGCAGAGAAAATGGGACTCCTAACAACCACCTGGAAGACCTAGTAGACCAGAAGAGCAAAAAATGAGAACTGCAGTTTTTTTACGTATTTTGCCAACATTCTCCTCTTGTGATGTAACCTGAGCGGCCCTCATCTTGGGCCACGCTTACATAAGCAGTATCCTCACCAATCACAAGGCTTGATGTGGGTTACCCCGCCCACATAGCTTTATCAGAACTGTGTTCCTTTACAGGCGGAGAAACTTACAAAAAGAAAGCTAACCACCAAGCGAAAGCTAACCCAGCAGGCCTAACTTATCTATCAAGCTAGCTCTTTTGTCTGCCTGTCATCCATCCAACGTTCAATTGTTCAACCCCATGTTTTCTGAAGTAACTCTTTTATTCACTTTTACTATTAAAACATTGGGTTATTATGGAGCCTTTAAAGGTCATTAGGCTGCGGTAGGGCTAAATCCCCACTGTCTCTGCTGTGGGCATCCCAGAGTGTGATTTACTGTGTGAGAAAAGTTTACAATATTTTTCATACAGCTTTACTGTCCTAGTAGCTCAGATGAGTTAAATCACTAAAATTGTGAAAATATTATACTACGTGGTTTTCCAAAGGCATCTATAGCTCCAGAGTGGCCTCCTCTATAACGACGAAAATCACCTTGTTTTTTATTATGTAAAAGCACATGGGCGTGGTGTTGGAAATCACTCATTTAGAGAGTTGCAGTCCAACGTTTCTCCAGCAGGGGCACTATTAGCACACCAGTCACTGTGAGCTCACACCAGAAGGAGCTCATGTATGCACATTTGCAGTAGTACACATTAAAATGACAGGTGAAGAAATTTTCAAAAGATGTTAGGTTACTCAGTATTATGTTATTTAAAGAAACAATATCTACTCTACTAAATCATAAACTGAAATCTGTTCTTGTTGGCCTGTGATCCCACCCACTTCCCATTTCCCAGTCCTACACTGACACCCTGGGTTGCCAGATATGAAACAAATTGGCTGGCAAAAACAGTGTGCCATGGAAACAAGCAATGAAAACAAATTGGATCTACAGACATAACGTTAGATTCCAACAGAGATAACGTTAGATTCCAACTTTCTAAAATACTGAGATGTAGTAAAACATGGGTAAATATTAGCAAAGATGAAGACAGCTCAGGGTCCAGAAGGACTTTAAAACGGATCCCGAGTTGGCTGATTTTCTCCTGAACAGGTAAGCATTGTGCTTCAGCTAACCTTAAACTGAGCAGTATGCTATCGAGGCCTGGAAACTAGTAACTCCAACTCCAGAGTGTGTATTTTCAGAGCAAAGGGCTTTTGTTTTCGGGGTAATCCCAATTGTAGATAGCCAGCCATGCATCTAGCTAACACAGAGTTATAAAAAATCTATAGAAAGAATACACAGGTGAGCTCAGAAACACCTAAAGGCTTCGACCTGTGGTAGACAGCTAAAATAACGATAACTTTGTTGGTGTCCAAATATTTATGGACCTGACTGTATGTCACATGCTAATTTTTGCAGCGTACCATAGTCAGGCATCATGTATCACGTACGGAAACGTATCAGTATCAGTAGATATTCAAAACTGAAGACCTTGGAGTGACATTTTTAGTAATATTTTTATACACAAAAGGGTGATCAAAAAAATCCGATTTCAAAGTGCCATATTTTTACAACTGTGAGGCACCTAGGAACCAATCACAATCCAATTGAAAGAGGGGGTCATAGAGTTTCTGACTGTCACCGGCAGATGATTCCCTTCAGTCTCCTTCAGGAGATGGAGACCCTGAGCAGAAAGGCGTTCTGCGTTCTCCACTTCAATAAGAGTGAATCCGTCACAACTGTGCAGTGTGATTTTCGTCAGCAGTGAACGTCCAACAGCTCAGAGCGTTCGTCGTTGGTTCCACAACACTGGATGATCTCCGAAATCCCACTGAAAGAGCCGTGAGTGCAGCGACACCCGACACGCTCAATCCAGTATGGGATGAATCTGACTATGGCGTTGATGTTGTCTGTACAGCTGGAGGAGGTTCATACTGAGACCATGTACAATTACATAATAAACTTTATGCTCATTTAAACCATTTACAGTTTACTGCATTGTTCTGTAACGATTTACAAGTGAAATAAATCATTTTGATATCGGATGAATCTTTTTGAATCACCCTGTACGTTAAAGTATATCACAGACATAAATGCTAGTTCCATCAGCCTTACAGCTACAGTGCAAAACACCACTGTGTTTGGGGAAAATTCTGTAACTATGAAGTGCAGAATGCTGAGTTGCCGTACCTGCGTAGGTTCCTGGGTCAGACGCATCGGCCCAATACATTCTTCAGTAGCAGACACCTGAGAGAGGGACGGAGAACACAGTGAGAAACAGAGGAACATAAACAGAACAGTGTCCAGATCTGTATTTTCTTCTCTTTCGTACCATTCCTGCTGTTCGGAGAAGCTGTTCCACACACAAGATAGTGCAACCATGTCAAAACAGCAACGCCATCCTCCCTAACCCCAGTCCACATGCTTGGGAAAAGCAGGATGTTCCAATGTTCTCCAAAAGTTGTCCAAGCATTGGTCCTACCACACAGCCAGCAACTGGACAATCCTTTCTTTGCATCCAACTAGCAAAAAGCGCTGCTTAGCCTTCCAAACATAATTTCCCAGAACTCGTTCTCAGCTAAAAAGCAGGTCATCCTAACGTTCTCTAAACATTGTGAGGGGTCTGACAAGTGAAAGTAAGGTAGTGAAAGAGGTTCTGATGCTGCAGTGCGAGCGTGCTAAGCTTAAAGTCTCCTAACCCGCCTGTCATCACCACTTAACACTCCGGATAATCCGCTCAGGCACACGTAAGCTCCTCGACCAACATATGGCACACATACCACATGTCTCTCTCTCACTCCCTCCCCCCTCTTCGTTATAGTAAGAGAAAATGGAGTGAAGCCCACCTTAAGAACAGAGGGCCTCATTCACCAATATCTTAAGTTTTTTCCTAAATTCATTCTTGAGAAAGGTTGTAAGAAAAAGTCTACGTCAGATTCACGAAGTGCAGAACTGTTCTCAACTTTGTGCTCTTGAGTGTGTGTAGACGCTGTTCCTACATAAGAACAAATCCCAAATAAGAAAACTGCGTAAGGGCGTTTTAAGAGGAAATTTCTTCTTAAGAACAGTTGGTGAATGAGGGCCAGAGTCTTTTTTTACTGTAAATCTAAATCACATCTTTGTATGTATTTATCATGTACAGGATGACGCTGCACAAATCTGAACACAATCAGAGCAAATAAACAGGAACCTGAAATCTGTTTACACAGCATACAAAAGAACAGCTTTAAAATGGGAAGCCTGACCCACTATTGGGTCGAAATGCCCCCCTACCTGGGGTAAGCAGCACCCTACCTGAGGAAAGAAGCTCGCCTACCTGAGGTAAGATAAGCCCACCTACTTGAGATATGAAGCTCCCTTATCTAGGGTAAGAAACCCCTCTACCTGGAATTAGAACCCTAACCTTAATCCTAAGAAGGCAGGCTTTGATAAGCCTGAGATAAGAAGCCCAGGCTTTGATAAGCCTGAGATAAGATGCCCATCTACTTGAGGTAAGAAGCCCCTCTATTTGGGGTAAGAACCCTCTTTAACTGGAGTACAAGCTAATAAACCAGAACAGCAGACAATTCTGTTTATATTGCACACAAAAGAACAGCTTTAAAATGGGAAGCTTGACCCACTGCTTGGACAGTATGCCCCCTAGCTGGGGTAAGCAGCACCCTTCTTCCTGAGGTAAGAAGCCCCTCTTCCCAAGGAAAGATACGGCTGCCTACTTGAGATAAGAAGCTTACCCGTGATAAGAAACCTGTCTACCTGGAATATGAACCCTGCCTAACTCTACCTGGGGAAAGAAGCCCACCTTCTTGAGGTAAGAAACCCCTCAACCTGGGGTAAGAGGCACACCTTCTTGAGGTAAGAAACACCTCAACCTGGGGTAAGAACTCACCTACTTGAGGTAAGAAACCCCTCAACCTGGGGTAAGAGGCACACCTTCTTGAGGTAAGAAACCCCTCTACCTGGGGTAAGAATCCCACCTTCTTAAGTAAATCCTTACTTAATTGGAGTAAGATACCCCTGCCTTATTAAAAAGCCCACGTACCTGGAGTAAGAAGCCCCCCAACCTGGGGTAAATGTAATTGATAGATGAATGCTGTTCAAGAGGGCAATCAGCTGATCAGCCTAGACATGTTTGGTGTCAAGTTAGTTAGTTTAGAACTGCAGTTATGAGGCTTATTTTGCTAACAAAAACTTGAAGTCAATAGTCTCCCAAACTGTTTCCACCAATACATTCCCAAATTGTCTCTCAAGCTGTTTAAAAAGCACACCCAGGTCTTCATTAAGGTCACACAGACACAATGTGGTTTACAACACAGTATCAATGACTATGAGCTATAAAATCAGAAATAAACTTTTCCAAGACGCAGCCATTCAGAATAACTGGAATCACTTCTTTCCTGGCCACAGTTTGGTATCATTCCACGCAAGACAACCAAAGACGAGACTAAGAGAATTCACAACACAGTATGTGGGCTAAAGTAGGTACAGGAGCTGAGTCAGCGTACTTAGAAAACCAACACAATGTTTGATTACAAATCTTGGGACCACATTTTCTGCACAAATGAGCCTCAGTCGTATGTGTCTGAACCTAAATATATATACACTCCTGTGCAAAAAAATGGGCTAAGCCCAAAATACAGTTTTTACTGATGGTTATGGGCTGGCCAGTTAAATTAGCTTGCCAATGTTTTTCAGCTGTTTGAAGCCATTAATGCTGAGTGGAGCAGTATGGACTCTGTCAAATTCTGTGAAAGGTTGTCTTCAAGTTTACCCCCAAACTTTAACATTTAGAGAAATCAACGGGAAAAGCTTTCATGCTAACTTAATTTGTCTATTTGTTTAATGATTCGTTGTTAAGTACATTAAAAGCTTAATGTTTGGCCATTTCATGCTTTAATACCGGAAAGCAGGTCGTTGTGTGGATGATAATGTTCCAGTTTCAATTTAAATGTGTAAATAAGGTCCACGCCATTTTACTAAATTATTTCGTTTGTAAATGAGTTTACGCAGCTTATCGACATGATTTGAAGCAAATACACGAAGATTTTGATTCTTTGTGGAAACTTGTGGAAATTGGACACCAAACGTGTCTTGGTTAATCAACTGCATTTGGGGTAAGCAGAAGGTCAGGCACATTTGACTTTTTACCAAACTACTCCTTTAAAGGGGCCATCCTTTCTAGAAGACTGGCCACGCCGCTGTGGATGGGTGTAGATGTTTGAGTGTGTAATGTATCCCTAGAAAGCTCATTCATCTGCCTCTCTCCCCTCTTTCCAGGAATCATAAAGACAGAGGGTAGACTGGGGAGAGGAAGAATGAGAGAAAAAGAAAAGAAAACAACAACAAGAAAAAAAGTGGTAACACTTTACACTAAAGACTGCAAATAGGAATGTCAAGATCATAAAAGTTTAGCTGACAAGGCCAAAATGGCAAAATGGCAAATTATGCTTCTAATGGTCATTAGCAAGTCATTAGTCAGTAAATTAGCAGGAATTAAACAAATGGACAAATTAGCAGGGATGGAGCTTTTTCCTTTGACTTTGTTCAGCGTTGAAGTCTTGTGGGTAAACTTGCCGACAGCCTTTTAAAGAAAGAAGAGTCAGTATTGATCCACCCAGCACTGATGGCTTCAAACAGCTGAAAAACACTGCTGAGCTAGCTTGTGTTTAATGTGAGACCAAATATTCACTATAGGGTTTCAATCAGGGGCCATATTACAGAAACTTCCCGTCTTTTTGTCTTAAGATCTGACAGGGTCAATATAAGATTTTTCACTCATTCGTATTTTCACAGAAGCAAATTTTATCGTAATTTAGGAATTTTATCGTATCTTACGGCATCTTCTCCAGTTAAGAAATCTTAACTCACTCGATCGAAGTTGACAATCAACTGTCATGACAATCAACTGTTACCTAGCAACTGACCATATGCGCACAGCTGAAACATAAATACGTAGTCAAAATAATCAAGCTAGTTAGCCAGGCAGCTAACTACCGTTACTGATGTAAAAAGGTCAAACAAAGCTAAAGTGTGATACACTGTAAGTTGTGAATACTGTGAGAGCGCCCCCTGCTGTTTATCAGAGCGTCGACGCTCCCCAGTTTCAGTCTCCATTTCCCAAACGCTTTAGCCGAGCGCGCTAACGTTACTCCTCCTAATAAACAGACACACGTTCAGCTCCGTCTCCTCATCATTCACCACCATCACTGTAATATTTCATCATCAACATTAACACACGAAGGTGATCAGAGGGGCGGTGGAGATCGAGTCTGCAGCGTCTGAGGTTTTTAAAAACGCTGAGTTAGAAAAGAGAATCATCTCACAGTGAAAGCAGCGTTTTACAGTAGAAATAAACAGAGCTCATTATGCTGGTAGTGAACTGTGCTGCTGACACAGCTGCCTAAAAACCATAGAAACGGATCTTAAACAGAAGTTAGGACCCTGTTGGGGTTCATCCTAAAGTTAGGACAGGATTTAGGAGGTTTAGTCTAGTTAGGATGTTTGTGTGATGCTGTTTTCTTATCTGGAGTTGATGATGAGATTATGAAGTCAGGAACTGTTATTCTGGAATAGCTACTGTCCTGAATTCAGTCCGTAATGAAGTCGTCATGGAGACTAAACAGTTTAGATTTCAGAGTTAAGATGTTTCTGTAACACAGGCCCTGGATTCTAAAATCCATGAGCATTTTTTGCGATTTGGCTCATTTTTTAAAGGAGTGTACATGCTGAAAATGTTAGAACTGCCTACATAGCTAACAAACAAACAAACAAACAAACAAATGTTATTCAGCACTGCCCTCTTAACATGTTACATAAACACAGTTATATGAGTTCCACAATATGTCTCAATGAACGCAAAGAATATACTGCTTTTTACATTATTTATTTAATGAACTATTATTAATTGTTAATTCTGGTGTCAAAATTGAAATTAATTACACATTATTAATGCATTAGATGTTCAGTAAACACTTCTTATTGCTTTTCCAGTTAGCAAAATTTGACTGGCCCACTTGTGGGCCACATCCTTGATTTGCTGCTGTCTGGGTAGTAAATGATTAAGCATTTAACAAATATTAATTGAGTATTTATAATGACGTAATAAAATGTATATTGATAATAATTAGGCATGCACTGAAATTTTGGATGCACAGTACTGGACAGTAGGAAGATCTATAGAGGTCAAAATGGTCCAGAGGGTGGGAGAGCAGGGGCACCTGATCAAAGCAGACGAATAGGTTACTGAATGT